CCACGGTACATAGCTGCCAGCTCCTGCCCGAGGGAGACAGGAAAGGGAGCTCGGGACAGGGGTGTCTCGCTGCCAGCACGCCCTGAGAACTGGCTGGGAAAGCAAAACTTGCTGGCTTCCCCCGCTAAGCTACTGAAGGTAAAGAACAAAGGTTGACGCTCCCTTCAATCAATCATTCCAAAGGTGGATGGCCTTGTCCAGGAGAGAGGGTGACCTTGGAAAAGCACCCGGAGTCTGTTGTGCAAGGCTGTGGGGTGGCTCGGCTCAGGTGACCTCCTAGTCCCACCAGGTTCCCTCCACGGGGCTCAGGTAGATGTTTCACCCAGACTGCGGCTCGTGCAGAGTCTGACTGTTTCCTTGCAGCCCTGGCTGTAGGCGTCAGGGCTGCCTCATGGGGCCTCCCCGCCATCTCCCTGGAGAATGAAGAGGCCAGCCTGCCACCAGAGAGTGCACAGATAACCCTGGATACCTTGATAGCCAGTGCAAACAGCAGCCAACGGGAAAGAGACCCCAGGACTGTGAAGGTCACCTTGGGGGTTGACCAGCACATGCTGACATCTCTCTCCCAAAAACTCCAAGGAAAGGTGTGGCCGAGATAAATGTCTTTCCTCTCCCATGCTGTCTTACTTCTCTTTAAAATGCTGGTGATGCAGCCAAGCATTTAGGTGGTCTTTCAGACAACCCTGAAATACATCACAGAACATCTGTTGTAGTGTGTTTGGGGGGGGGGCACACCCATTGGTGTTGAGGGGTTACTCAGGCTGGTGCTTAGGGACCTGTGTGGTGCTGAGTATTGAACCCCAGCCTCTCACATGCAAAACTTGCATCAGTCCTTTGAGCCATCTCTTGGGCTTGGGTAGAACATCTATTTTAAAGAAACATTCCCTGCCCTAACTCCAACTAGGAATAGCTTCATGCATTTAAAGCAATTGCACCCCTTCCTTCCTCCTTCCTCCCTCCCTCCCTTCCTTCTGTCCTTCCTTCCTTCCTTCCTGTTTTTGGGCCACACTGAATGGTGCTCAGGGCTCACTCTTGGCTCTGTGCTCAGTGTATCATATGGGGTGCCAGGGATCAAACCCGGGGTGTGCCCTACCCCTTGTACGATCTCCCCAGCTCTCACACACTATCCATTTAACGTCTGATGGTATCCATTTGCAAGGTAGCTGGTAAATCAATGCCCAGAGTCTTATATATACATTCAGTGCTCTACAATTTATACACTGGAGGTGCACAATAGCCCTGAAGATAGGAGCTGAGGCTTTTAAAGAAGAAAGATCTGCGGCTCCAAGGGATTAAGCAGCTGATTAGACTAAAGCAAAGAATGCCCCCTTTGAATTTCAGCAATGCACAATTGTTTCTGTTTTGAAACACGAAGGGGGGCAGGGGAGCTGTTCTCAAGATTTTCCATTGTGGTTCCAGTCCCAGAAAAACCAAGGGGTGGGGATGTGACGCAGCAGCAAAGCATGTGTAAAGCACCTACCTTGCCTGCATAAGACCTGGGTTCTGTTCTTGGAATCATGAAAAACAAATAAAGAAACTGAAGGCCCTCTAAGAGCTGTTTGGGGATGGGGATGGAGCTCAGTAGGGCATTTGTCTTCTCTGTGCGAGGCCCCAGATTCAATCCCAGGTAACACATGAAAGAAAAGGAGAGAAGAGGGGAGGAGAGGGCACGGAAGAGGAGGGGAGGGGAGGGGACTGGAATAGAAGAGGAGAGAAGCTTCGCATGTGGGCGACCTGGATTCTCCAGTAGCAAAAAAAAAGCTCATGGTCAGAGCTGAAAGCCGACTCCATGGGTTCAGCCAGGATTTGGGGTTGGAAGATAATACAGTGGGTAGGGCGTTTGCCCTGGATGTGGCCAACACGGGTTCCATCCCCGCCAGCACCAGATGGTCCCTTATACCTGTCAGAAGTAATCCCTGAGGGGGTTGGAGCAATAGCACAGCGGGTAGGGCATTTGCCTTGCATGCGGCTGACCTGGGTTCGATTCCCAGCATCCCATATGGTTCCCTGAGCACCGCCAGGTGTAACTGCTGAGTGCAGAGCCAGGAGTAACCCCTGTGCATCGCCAGGTGTGACCCAAAAAGCCAAAAAAAAAAAAGAAAAAAGTAATCCCTGAGAACATCAGGAATAAGCCCTGAGCACCACCAAAACAAAAATAGATTCAGTGTTTGTGCACTTGCCTTAGGAGCATCCAGAGAGGCAAGCTGGGAGGTTTGTGAAGTGGTAAAGAGACAAATCGGATGCTGGACAGGGCAGGGATGGGTGGGACCAAGAAGTGGCTTTGGGCATTGTTGACTAGCCTAGAGAACCTATTTACTGATTCTGGGGATGAAGCCAGACCTTCAGACAGGCAAAGAGTCTTGTGCTCCACCATTGCACCACCACCCAATCCTAGGATCATTGTTTGAGGAAAAAAAAAAAAAAACAACTGGAGGGGGTTGTGTGCAACGGGGTTATTAGATCACATCCAGCAGTGCTCTTGGCTCTGTGCTCAAGAATTGCTCCTAGCTCTGTGCGCAAAAATCACTCCTGGAAGGGGCTTGGTGGACCATAAGCGGTGCCAGCTATGGAACATGCATAAGCATCTTAACTCCTGGACTCTCAATTTCTCTTGCCCCTAGAATCATTGTTCGGAATGCATTTTTTTTCCTATTTTTAATTGAGGTGAGATGCCAGTCTGAGGATTTAGTGCTGCTTGGGCCTGCAGTGCTGCGGACCACCAATGGTGTCCTTTAGGGCCTACACCTGGCTCTGTACTCAGCAATCGCTCTTTTTTTAAAAAAAAATCTTTTTATTTATTTTTTTCTTTTTGGGTCACACCTGGCAATGCACAGGGGTTACTCCTGGCTCATACATTCAGGAATTACTCTTGGCAGTGCTCGGGGGACTGCTGGGAATCGAACCCAGGTTGACTGCGTGCAAGGCAAATGCCCTATCTGCTGCGCTATCACTCCAGTCCCTCAGCAATCGCTCTTGGTGGGCTCGGGCAACATATGGGATGCTGGGCATGAAACCCGGGGATGGACCCTGGCCATGTGCAAGGCGAGTACCCAGTACTGACTGGCACTCCAGTCCCTGTAACTCGTGGCTTTTTATGAACGATGCTTTATGTTTTTCTTGACTTTTCTCATCATGCCCCATGTTATGCAATTGACATGTTTCTGTTCAACACTTCTTAGTCTTATGTTCCCAGGGAAAGTGTTATGACCTGTGATGGGAGCAATGGCTCAAGGGACTGGAGCACATGCTCTGCATGTAGGAAGCCCAGATTTGAACCCCAACACTGTGACCCCCACCCCCAGCACCAAGGCGCCTGTTACTCTGGGTCTGGCCCCAAAAACAATCAAAAAAGATTATTTTTGCCTCTGACTGGGAGCAAGGCAGGCATTCATCACTGGCTCAGTACATGTATTAGAAATAGACTGGGAACAGATCGTGAGGTTCTGCTTATGAGTGCTCAGCTGCAAATGTGAAGTATAGGAGAAACAGTAATTATAACATCCTGTCCTGGGGGGAGTGGTGGGTAGCATGCCCAGCAATGCTCAGGGCTTACTCATAGCTCTGTGCTCAGGGACCATTTCTGGTGGCACTCAGAGGAACACGTGTGATGCCACGAACTGAACCTAGGTCACCACTTACAAAGCAAGTGCCTCCTGGTGAAGGGATGGGTTTTCATCATTGTATGACTGAGACTTAGACCTGAAAGCTTTGTAACTTCTCTCACAGTGATTTAATAAATAAATTTATAAAAAGAAAAAAAAACGTAAGGCAGAATTCATGCCCAATTCAATCAGCCTAATCAATGGCTGAATAAATAGCAATACTCCTACATTTAAAAAAAAAAAAAAAGCAAGTGCCTCAACCCTGTTTTATCTCTCTGGTCCCAAGGATTTTTTTGTTTATTTGTTTATTTGTTTTTTTGGGCTATATCTAAGGATTTTTAGGGCTTACTTCTGCTCTGGGCTCAGGGGACCATATGGACCCAAGGACAGGCAGGGTCAGCCACATACACGGCAAAGCACATTACCCTGTACTGTGTCTCCAATGCCACATCCATCCTGTTCCCCTCCCCAACCCAGGGCACCCCATTCCTGGAGGCACTGTTCCACATTAAGTGGAGTGGGTTGATAATCAAACAACCTTTTATTTCATTTCCTTGCTCCAAAAATCCACTTGACATTGTTTCCCTTGGGGCCAAGGGATTAGTTTGAAGGACTGAAACTTTGCATGCTGGTGGCCCTGGTTTGAACCCTGACATTGCATGGTCTCCCAAGCATTGCAGGGAGTGACCCCAGAGCACCACTAGGTGTGGCCTGAAAACCAGATACTTCATTAATGTGGTCCATAAGAAGGTCTTCTACCAGTAAAGTGACAACCCTGGTAAGGACACAAAGATCTTTTTTAAACTTTTTAATTTTTAAATTGAATCACTGTGAGATACAAAGTTTTCATAATTGAGTTTCAGTTATACAATGATCAAATACCCATCCCTCCACCAGTGTGCATTTTCCACCCCCAATGTCCCCAGCATTCCTCCTGTCACCCCCACCCCATTCCACTCTCTGCCTCTGTGGCAGGCACCTTCCTACTCTCTACTTTGGGGCATCATGGTTTTCAACAGATCATGTTTGGTCCTTAGTCTACTTTCAGCACACATCCCCCATTCCAAGCGATCCCTCCAACCATCATTGACTTAGTGGTACCTTCTCCATCCCAAATGCCTGGCAGCCCTGGTTTGAATTGTTCCCAGGGAAAGTATTATGACCTGATGGGGGCAATGGCTCAATGGCTCATTGTCTCATGTTATAAGACAAGCTTCTAACCATGGAGTGGTCCACCTGCCCCATGTCTCTACTGTCCTTGGATGTTAGTCTCATGTTATTTTATATTCCACAAATGAGTGCAGTCATTCTATGTCTGTCCTCTCTCTCTGACTCATGTCACTTAGCATGATACTCTCCACAGGACACTAAAGATTAATGATCCTTTCTTCTTATCAGGCTCATTCGAAAGTCTGGCATAACTACCACATAAATTTCCGTCCGCAACAGAAGGGCTGGTTATCCATCACACTGGGCTCCCACTGGATTGAGCCAAATCGATCTGAAGATGCGATGGATGTCCTCAAATGCCAACAGTCCATGGCGTCAGTGCTTGGGTGGTTCGCCAGCCCCATCCACGGGGAAGGAGATTATCCCGAGCTCATGAAGAAGAAGTTGCTCTCCATTCTGCCCCACTTCTCCGAGGCAGAGAAGAATGAGATCAGGGGCACAGCTGACTTCTTTGCCTTTTCCTTTGGACCCAACAATTTCAAACCCCAGAACACCATGGCAAAAATGGGACAAGCGGTGTCCCTCAATTTACGGGAAGTGCTGAACTGGATCAAACTGGAATATGACAATCCCCGAATCTTGATTGCTGAGAACGGCTGGTTCACAGACAGTCATGTGAAGACAGAGGATACCACTGCCATCTACATGATGAAGAATTTCATCAACCAGGTTCTTCGAGGTGGGTTGGATATTAGTTCATTAAAAAAAATTTTTGTTTGTTTTTGAGTCATACCTGGCAATGCTCAGGGGCCACTCCTAATTCTGCACCCAAGAATTACTAGGGGGTACCAGGGGTTGAACCCAGATCAGCCAAGTGCAAGGAAAGCACCCTATCTGCTATGCTATTTCTCTGGCCCTCATTTAAAAAGAATTTTTAAAAATATCTTATGAGTGGGCTGGAGCGATAGCACAGCAGGTAGGACGTTTGCCTTGCATGCAGCCAACATGGCCGACCCGAGTTCAACTCCTCCACCCCTCTCGGAGAGCCCAGCAAGCTTCCGAGAGTATCTCGCCCACATGGCAAAGCCTGGAAAGCTACCCATGACGTATTCAATATGCCAAACACAATAACAAGTCTCACAAAGTTACTGGGCCCACTAGAACAAATCGATGAACAACGGGAGGACAGTGACAGTGACATCTTATGAGTATTTAAAGCCACCTTTGAATCAAGCTACACCTGGTTGTGCTCAGGTCTTACTCTTCTCTGTGCCAGGATCACTCCTTGTGGGGCTTGGGGGCCTGGAGGACCATCTCGGTTGCCAGGAATTGAACTCTGTAGTCAGTTTTTGTGTGCCTTAGCCATTTTCTATTTCTCTGGCCCCTGTCATTTCTTTTTTTATAATTTTTTGGGGGGTGTGGTTTGGGCAGGGGGCTGGGCCACATCCGGTGATGCATAGGGGTTCCTCCTGGCTCTGCACTCAGGAATCACTCCTGGCGGTACTCAGGGGACCATGTGGGATGCTGGGAATCAAACCTGGGTCGGCCGTGTGCAACCCTACCCGCTGTGCTATCGCTCCAGCCCCTCGTTTTTTTTTTAAACCATCTCCTGGAAGTTACTGAATCGCAGAGTCACAGTGAGGTCCAGGAGATCCTGTGTGCCCACCTTCCCTGTTCACTAGCTTGAGGGGACTGAGCTCAGGAGCCGAGCAAGGTGGGCCCAGCGCCTGCCCCTCGGCCCAGTCAGCATGGCCTTACATCACAGCACTCCTCCCGCCTCCCCCCTGCCCATGTCTGCATGCTGTCCCTGAGGGTTGCTTCTAAGAAGAGTCTGTCCAAAATGGGAACCAAGCCAACCCTGGGCTGGGAAATTCTTGGTCAAGATCCTACATCTGTACAGGGCTGGCAACAACCATGCCTTGTGACACAGATTTGCACCATAAGTCTCAGGAATATTTTTGTTTTGGTTTGGGGATTACTACTCCCAGCGGTGCTCAGGGCTCATTCCTGGCTCTGGGTTCAGGAATTACTCCTGTCTGTTCAGGGGACCATGTGAGGTGCCAAGATTCGAACCTGTGTAAGCTACAAGCAAGGCACGCACCTCACCTGCTCTACTATGTCTCCCACAGCCACTTTTCAAGTGCAGAACTATCGCCTGTATCACAGAAGGGCTTGGAAATGAGAGACATTTAGTTCGTTTCATGATGTGCTGTTCCCTAGCGTGTCAATGAAGTTGGGGTGTCAAGTCCTCCAAACATCTCTGCTTTTTCCCTCCCTCTCTGCACAGCAATAAGGTTTGATAAAGTACAAGTGTTTGGTTACACAGCCTGGTCTCTTCTGGATGGCTTTGAATGGCAGGACGCTTACACCACTCGCCGAGGATTATTTTACGTGGATTTTGATAGTGAACAAAAAGAAAGGAAGCCCAAGTCTTCAGCACATTACTACAAACAGATCATACAAGATAATGGTTTTACTTTAAGAGAGTCCACACCGGCAGTGCAAGGCCAGTTTCCCTGTGACTTCTCCTGGGGTGTCACTGAATCTGTCCTTAAGGTAAGTGACTACTTACAAATCAACTATAGGCATGGAGAGATGATAAGAATAATAAAAGTGGACACACCTACTGGACTTGGGGTGCGGAGAGCGGGCCTCACTCTTGGCAGCAGTCTGAAGCAGTCTGGCCTGGGGGACAGGCCTGACGTTCAGTGCTGGGCTGGTGCTGCGGAGCTGGGGCCTGGCTATGCTCAGTGGCTACCTAGGGGTTCTAGGTAAGGCATGTGGTGCCAAGTTTCCAGTACTTCACACATGCTGCACATGCGTTCTACCACTCTGAGTCATCTCTCCACCCCACATTTACTTTGTATGTGTGTGTATACTAACATATACTATATATATATAATATATATATATTTACACAAACATATACTACTTATATATTCTCTCTCATATGGTTTACTATCACTCTGGCCCCCAGTCAAGATAGACTATTTTTTAAAATTTTTCCTTTTGTTTTGGAGCCACACCTGGTGATGCTCAGGGGTTATTCCTGGCTCTGCACTTAGAAATTACTCTTGGCAGTGCTCAGGGGACCAGACAGGATTAAACCTGGGTTGGCCGTGTTGAAAGCAAACGTCCTACTCACTGCACTATCACTCTGGCCCCCAAGACAGACTTTTCAAAATACCCTTTCAGGGGACATAGCAGCAATACAGCAGGTAGGGCGCTTGCCTTGCGCACAGTCAACCCAGGTTCTACACCCGGCATGCCATATCTGACCCCCTAAGCTTGCCAGGAGTGGTCCCTGAATACAGAGCTAGGACTGAGCACTGCTGAATGTAGACCAAAACAACAAGAAAACACCCTTTCAATATCATGATGCTCTGAGGTTTCACAACCCTAAACTGGACAACCAAACTAGGAGGATTTTACGTCAAGGGCTATATACAGGTTTAACTTTGTCCTGACATGACCACTGTTGCCTTGGTTTAATGTTCTAGATAACTGACTGGCAGATGGCACGTGGGTAGTGATATGGTCTGGTAATTATGCTATGAAAGATGACATACAAGGAAACAATTAGGAAAATGTTTACCAAAGGTTCATTATCCAGGTGCATTACAATTCAAACATGGGGGGGGAACCAGTAGGTTAAAATCAGTGCAGAACTTCTGCTTCTTGATCATACATTTAGAAACGAGATTTTATTTTTGTGACTTTTTTTTTGGGGGGGGGGCCACACATGGAGATACCCAGGGGTTACTCCTGGCTCTGCACTCAGGAATCAATTCTGGCAGTGCATACGGGACCCATATGGGATGCCAGGAATTAAACCCGGGTCTGCCTCAAGCAAGGCAAGTGCTCTATTCACTGTGCTATGGGTTCAGCCCCCCAAATATTTTTTTCTTATGTCCTTATCTGTTTTAATTTAGACTCTGGAGCCAAGGAGAAATATTCTGCCACCAAGGAGAACTAAGCACATCACTACTGCTTACGTTGGTAGACTGCATGTCTTAGAGCTCACTGAGCACTTTCCCAAAACCCTTAGTACCTCCCAGCACATCTGCTCTATCACTTCAATGGGATCGAGCCTGGAGTCTAAAGCAGTAGCTTGAGGGCTGGAGAAAGTAGAGCAGTTAGGGCGCAACTTGGAATGCACCCAACACAGGTTTGATTTCCAGAGCATGGTCCCCCAAATATTGCCAGGTGCTGCTCTGGAGCCGTCCCCCAACAACCCCACAAGCACCGCCAGGCTGGTCTGCGGGTCCCCAGTACTGGGGGGGTCCAAGCAGCATCCCATTCTCAGATCCTGGCTGGCTGAGAATCTCTGGTAGGCCCCAGATCTCCTAGCACTACTTGGGAGGCCCCCCAAATTTAAATAAAAGAGAAGACAGAACCAGAAACTGGAGATCAGAGTTGTGACCAGGGTGGAGGCGTAGCGGGTGAGACACCATCAGATCCAATAATCAATGGAGGAGATTTTGAGAAGGAGCCCGGGGTGTCGTTCAGCAATCAAGGGCTTGCTGTGTGTGTGTGTGTGTGTGTGTGTGTGTGTGAGGCCCTGGGTTTGACCCCCAGCATATCACAGAGACATTTAGTTAGTTATCTGACACAGATACAGATACAGATACACAGATACAGATACAGACACACACACACACACGCACGCACGCACGCACGCACGCACACTGCAGGAAAAGAAAAGTGTAGGGCCAGCATTGTGGCTTACTGGCAGAATACGTGCTGTGCATGTATAAGGCCCTGGATCCATAGGCTCAGTACTGCAAACACCAAAACAAAAGCAAAATACATGAGGGGGCTGGAGTGATAGCACAGCGGGTAGGGCGTTTGCCTTGCACACAAGCAACCCAGGTTTGATTCCCAGCATCCCACATGGTCCCCCGAGTACTGCCAGGAGTAATTCCTGAGTACATGAGCCAGGAGTAACCCCTGTGCATATCGCCGGGTGTGACCCAAAAAGCAAAAAAAAAAAAAAAAAAAAACCCACGAAATAAGGGAGTTTCAGGGAGGATCTGACAGCCTTTTCTATCACAATCCAAGTGCCAAAGAAAGTGGTGAGGGAATACAGGCTCTGTCCTCAAGGCACAAAGGTGGCAGAGAGGGGCTGGGGCCTGAGTACAGAGGGTAAGACTCTTGCCTCGCTTGAGGTTGACTCGGTGCCCGGCACCTCATGTGGTCCTTCCAGTCAGCCAGGAGTAATTCCTGAGTGCAGAGCCAAGAGTCAGCCCTGAGCCCTGCTCGGTCTGCCCCCTGTTTCCCCTCGCCACCCTCAGCCCCACCCTCCAGAAAGAAGAGTTGGAAAGGAAGATATGCCGTCAAGAGGTTCTTCCTCCCACCTCCCGGGAGGCAGCACAAAAAAAGCTCCTGTGAACGACACAGGGGTCCTTTTTGGGTGTTTTTATTTTTGGGATTTTGATTTTGTTTGTTGGGCCACACCAGGTGGCGGTACGCGGATCTTACTCAGGGATCACACCTGGAGGTGTGTGGATCCTAAGTGGCTCTGGAAATCAAACCCGGGTGGACTGAGGACAAGACGAGCGAGTGCCCTGCCCACTGGGCTATGCTCGGGCCAAGGGCTCATTCCTTTTCTCAGTCTCGTGCTCTCCTGAACGAGCATTTTTGCTTCTCCCCAGCCGGAGTCCGTGGCTTCGTCCCCGCAGTTCAGCGACCCTCACCTGTACGTGTGGAACGTGACGGGCAACAGGCTGCTGCAGCGCGTGGACGGCGTGAGGCTCAAGACGCGGCCGGCGCAGTGCACGGACTTCGTCAGCATCAAGCGGCAGCTGGAGATGCTGTCCCGCCTGAAGGTCACCCACTACAGGTTCGCGCTGGACTGGCCCTCCATCCTGCCCACGGGCGACGTGTCGAGCGCCAGCCGCGCCGCCCTGCGCTACTACCGCTGCGTGATCAGCGAGGCCCTGAAGCTGCGCATCGCACCGATGGTCACGCTCTACCACCCGACCCACGCGCACCCGGGGCTCCCCGCGCCCCTGCAGCGCCGCGGCGGCTGGCTGAACCCGGCCACCGTGCAGGCCTTCCAGGACTACGCCGGGCTGTGCTTCCAGGAGCTGGGCGACCTGGTGCGCCTCTGGATCACCATCAACGAGCCCAACAGGCTGAGCGATGCTTACGGCGGCCGCGCGGGTAACGCCACGTACCTGGCGGCGCACCACCTGCTGCTGGCACACGCGCGCGCCTGGCGCCTGTACGACGCGCACTTCCGCGGGGCGCAGCGGGGAGCGCTGGCGCTGGCCCTGCACGCCGACTGGGCCGAGCCCGCCGACCCGTACGCGCCGTCGCACGCGCGGGCGGCCGAGCGCTTCCTGCAGTTCGAGCTGGCCTGGTTCGCCGACCCGCTCTTCGGGGACGGCGACTACCCGCGGGCCCTGCGCGAGCACCTGGCGGAGCGGCGGCGCCAGGGACTGTCCAGCGCGGAGCTGCCCGCCTTCAGCGACGCCGAGCGGCGGCTGGTGCGCGGCGCTGCCGACTTCTGCGCGCTCAACCACTTCACCACCCGCTTCGTGATGCACGCGCGCCCGCGCCACGACGGCGACCGCGACGTGCAGTTCCTGCAGGACATCACCCGTCTCAGCTCGCCCAGCCGCCTGGCCGTGCTGCCCTGGGGCCAGCGCAAGGTGCTGCGCTGGGTGCGCGAGCGCTACGGCGACGTGGACGTGTACATCACGGCCGGGGGCATCGACGACCCGGCCCCGCTCGACGACCGGCTCCGGAAGCACTACGTGGAGAAATACGTCCAGGAGGCGCTAAAAGGTGGGGCGGAGAGGGCCCCCCAAAGCACCTGTCCTCTCACTCTTCCCCGGCAGGCACCGCCGATGCAGCTTTGCTAGCTAGTTGGCTCCAGCAGTTGCAAGTTTTTGGTTTTGGTTGGGGGCCATACCTAGCGGTGTTCAGGGCTTATTCCTGACTCTGAGCCGAAATAGGGATCATTCCTGGCCATGCTCAAGGGACCTAATATAGAATCAGTCAGTCATGTGCAGAGGAAACGCTCTACCCATTGTTCTATTGCTGTGGCCCTTGGCACATTGTTTTTCGTTGTTGTTTCTTTTTGGCCACCACTGGCTCTGCATTCAGGAATTATTCCTGGTGGTGCTCAGAGCATAGAACCCGGTCAGCCACCTACAAGGCAAGCGCTCTACCAGCTGCACCATCTCTCCATTTGAAGGTAAACTCACTGAGATTAGACGGAGGAGCGAGAGATGAGTGGGAATGATAGCAAGTCTTTGGTTGGCGCAACTGAAACAATGAGTGGCCATTTGCCAGGTTGGGGGAACGAGCAGGACAGGTTTGGGAAATGGATTGTTGGTTCGCCATCAGTTTAAGCTGAAGGTGTCAGTTGGACATCCAGTTAGCACATGTCGGGTATGCTGGTGAACCCCCCCTTAGGTTTAGAGATCTGGGGCAGAGGTAGTAACCGGACTGAAGAGTGCACTGATGGTCTTTGAAACAGGGCAAATGAGCTAGGAAGAGAGCGGCATACAGAGTGCTGAGCTCTGGAGCACTTCAATATTTAGGAGTCAAAAAATCAGTCAGAAATGGACAAACACCAGTGCTGAGAGCTATGGACAGAAATTCCGCCCTGTTGATATGGAAATGATCCGGCAGGGGCAAAGGAACTTGCAGTATATAGGGAAGGAGCCTGGCCCTGCCTGGACCAGGGGAAGTGCAGAGGCCAGTGCTGGGTGATGTGACCACAGGACTGCAGACCCCTCCAGTCTCTCAGTGGCTGAAAAGACAGGTCAGTTCAAAGCATCAGGATGAAGAGTAGTGAGGGATCAGAAGAAACCAAGTGTAGTCACTGGGCAGTACCAAGGGCACATGAAATCTGAGACCTGGCCAGATACGCTCATTTTTTGTGTCTGACAGAAACTTAATGCTCCACTTTTTGGGAGCCATTTTTGGGGGTGCAGGGATGAAGCACCCCCAGCACTGCTCAGTACCATGTGGTACTGGTCAAGCCCCTGCCCCAATTCTTGGTTCCTTTTCTCAAATTTTTGTTTTGTTTTTTTTTTTTGGGTCACGCCCGGCGATGCTCAGGGGTTACTCCAGGCTCTGCACTCAGAAATTACTCCTGGCAGTGCTCAGAGGACCATATGGGATGCTGGGAATCGACCCAGGTTGGCCACATTTAAGGCAAACGCCCTACCTGCTGTGCTATCGCTCCAGCCCCTCTCAAATGTTTTTAATCATTTATGAATCCAAATTTTACTTCAGATCTCTTTGTGGGGTTTCCTTCTTTATATCAATCATAACAGTATCCAAGACCCCCGTAATAAGAATCACTACTTTTTAGGCCACAACTTTAGCTTGTTTCAGTAAACTAAAACATTATTCAAGATAATCCTAAAAAAATAATAATCTTTCTGAATTTTTTTCCAGCACACCTAATTGATAAAGTCAAAGTCAAAGGCTATTATGCATTCAAATTGACTGAAGAAAAATCTAAACCCAGATTTGGGTTCTTCACATCTGACTTCAAAGCTAAATCCTCAGTTCAGCTTTACAACAAGCTCATCAGTGACAATGGCTTTCCCTCTGAGGACAGTGAGCCGCACTGCAGACCGAATGCAAGAAGTACAGAGTGTGTCGTCTGCCTATTCCTGGTGCAGAAGAAGCCGCTGATATTCTTTACCTGTTGCTTCTTCTCCACTCTGGTTCTGCTTCTGTCAATTACCATCTTTCACAAGCAAAAGAAAAGAAAATTTTGGAAGGCAAAGAACTTGCAACACATGCCGTTGAAGAAAGGGCAGAAGAGAGTTCTTAGCTAACTGATCCTATTCGTCTGCATGGTAAAGGTTTAAAAGTTCACTCCAGTTCTATATACAGAAGATCTAATTGGGTACAGAGTGACAATGTGAGAGTAACAACACCTCAGTGTTACTTGTGAGCAAGCTGACATTGTCTCTGCTTTATGTTTCTCAAAGGACTCCATTCTGGTTGGTGACAGAGAATTCAGCTCTTCAATGTGAAGATACAGCCTCTGCCTAGCTGTACAATACGCTTGGTGGCTGTCTTTCCCTGCTTCATGTTTGATGAGCTGTTCCCACCAATCTCTAGCTTTCTCTAGAGCTACCAGTAGCTATTTGGAAAGGTACTTCACAGCAGAGATTTAAAGCTCTTTAATATTGGACAGTGACATTTTCTAATAAGGTGCTTTTCCCTTTGTTGGGGTAGTTGGTCCCCAGAAGAGAAGATTATATAGTACTGTTTCTCATCTATGGCACTTTTAGCCTTGCCTCTCCCCCCAAAACCTCTCGCTCTACCAGCTGGCCCCTTAATCTTGTGCTGTGGTCCTCCATTTACATTTTATGGCCCCCTTGGAATATCCAGGGGGCCCACCCAGTTGACGAATGTTGATGTAGTATGTATCTATAGCCACATTACAGCAAACTGAAGCACAGCAATTCCTCAGTTCTCAATAAAAACAAGCATTTCTGAAACATCAAATTTTGTGATGTCTTTCATTTAATCAGATCTGATACTACAAAAACACATAGGGCCAGAGATATGGTGGGTGGTGCTTGCTTTGCATGTGGCCGAACCAGGGTTTTATTCCCAGCATCCCATATGGACCCTGACCACCACCAGGAGTGATCCCTGAGTAGACCCAGGAGAAAGCTCTGAGCACAGCTGGGTGTGACCCCAAAACCAAGAAGAGTCCAAAATGACAGTAACAGCAGGTGTTTGCCTTACATATGGCAACCCAAGTTTGATCCCTGGCATTGCATGATTTCCAAGTAGAGCCAGAAGTAACTCCTGAGCATTGCCAGGTGTGGTCCCCAAACCAAATAAATAAAACATGTAGGGCTGAAGATGAAGTTCAAATGGCAAAGTACACATTTTGCATGGGAGAAAGACAAAAGCCTGGATCCTACCTTCAGCACATTGGACCTTAAGTTATGCCAGGACTGCCCTCTTATCCAAACCCCACTACCAGATCCATGCAGTTTACATAACTCATCTTATGGAAGGATCTGGGACTAATCTAGGGCTGGAGATAGTCCAGCAAGTAGGGCACTTGCTAAGCACACAACTGACCACAGCACCACCTAATGGTCCCTGTGCTTTACCAGGAGTGATCTCTGAACAGCCCTGAGCAACTCTGGGTGTGGTCTAAAAAACAAACACCCACACACACTTGCCAGCAACAGGATTCTGGGTCCTAGAACCTTTTGCATCATTCTACCTCACTTGATTTCTATGGTAATAAATAAATGGTAGCAGTTAGATCTGATTAAGAAGAGTTAACACTCTAAAATGACAGTTTGTTCACTCATGAAGTAACATTTAATTCCACAAAACCTGCTTTCTGCCTGAGGAACTTCACTGCTGCACCGTATGTGTAAGATTCCCTCCAAGGTACAGAATGCAGATCAGTTACAAACTGTTTTCATACTATAAATCTTGACCTTGGAAAGTTTGACTTTAACTCCTTAAAACTGGAGTTGGAGGCTTGGTCCTCAAGCCCATGTTCTCTCTCAAACACCTTATCTCATCTCTATGGTTTTTTGCTGCCCCTGTTCTCTCTGAAACACAACTCTATCCTCTCACAAGTCTCAATAAAAACTATCTTGTTTTACTCAAAAAAGTTGGAAGAGAAAATGCACACTCCTTTCTCCCCATTCTTTGATTGCACACAGCAGTCAGCCACTGTCCACCCTCTCAGGAGTCAAACCATGATTTTTAGAGGGGAAAAAAAGCCCTTGAATTACGGCAATTTTGTTTTCTGGGTCCTCTGCAAACTGGATTTTGTACCTAACAGATTCCAATCAGCAACATTTCAAGGTACTGTTCAACTAGATCCATGTGGGAGGAAATCAATTTGCTCTCTATGGTTGGGTTTGGCTGCTGAGCAGTGCTCAGCTGGCGACCTAGTAGATTGGGCTTCAGTTCTACAGCCTTAGGGCAACTTGCTTTTTCCAAATGCAGTCACTCTAAGAAATAAAACTTTTCTATCATACTGCAACTTTTGGTAGTTTTCTTTCCCTTCTTTGGGTCACACCTGGCCATGTACAGGGGCTACTCCTGGCTCTGCACTCAGGAATTACTCCTGGTGGTGCTCAGGGAACCACATGGGATGCTGAGAATCCACCCTGGATCAGCCACTTGCAAGGCAAGTAAGTGCCTTACCCAGTATCTTAGGCCCCTGATCTGCAAATATACTTTGTGTATGGTGTCAGGACCCCATACTTGTGAGGCACGCATTCTTTTGTTCAAGCTTAACATAGCCTTGCTGTAAGCTTCAAATACTGTAGTTCATGCTTGCAGACCTTTGTCACTTACAACATGCTTTTAAAACCATTGCAATATACTTCTTCAGTAAATAATTTGGCTCATTAAAAATCATACTCCTCAGGGCTGGAGAGGTATTATTGTACCAGCAGGTAAGGTCCTTGCCTTACACAAAGCATTCCATATGGGCTCAGAAACACCATGATTAATTCCTGAGCACAGAACCAGAATAAACATTGCTGGTGTGGCCCAAACACAGAAAAATTGTACTTGCTCTAATTACAATACTGGCACTGAATTGTTAAGCCACATTAAAAGTGAGTCACTGGGTGGTATATTACACCAGCTTCAATGTGTTAAAGATCCTGAAAAATGAGGTCAGCACATTGTTGCAAAATGTTTTTTTTTTGCTTTTGGGGTCACACTCAGCATGCTCAGGGGTTATTCCTGGCTTTGCACTCAGGAATTACTCCTGGCGGTGCTTTGGGGACCATATGGGATGCCGGAAATCGAACCTGGGTCGGCTGTGTACAAGGCAAACGCCCTACCCACTGTACTATCGCTCTGGCCCCACAAAATGTTTAATTTTCGATGTAATGTATTCCAAATAAACTCGTTTATTCCTATTGCCCTTGCAAGTGTTTTATGAAATGTGCAGGTAAGATGCTGGGAGAGAAACAAAAAATTGCTTGGGGGGCTGGAGCGATAGCACAGCGGGTAGGGCATTTGCCTTGCACGCGGCCGACCCGGGTTCAATTCCCAGCATCCCATATGGTCCCCTGAGCACCGCCAGGGGTAATTCCTGAGCGCAGAGCCAGGAGTGACCCCTGTGCATTGCCGGGTGTGACCCAAAAAGCAAAAAAAAAAAAAAAAAAATGCTTGGAAATTAATTACTTGAAAAAAAAAAATCACTCCCTTGGTGGCTACTATTGCCTGTATACTAATGCTTTGAATTCAGCCTGAAAAATCTCATCACTTTGGGAGAGGTTGGAGCACCACACACAGCAGTACTCAGGGGTTCTTTCTGGCTCTTTTCAGGAGTGACCCCTGGCTAGGCTGACCATGCAGTGCTGGAGATCAAAGCAGGATTGCCAGCTTGCAATGCAAGAACCAAAACCTCAGGACCATCTCTTAGCTCCCAGTGCCATCAACGTCATGAGTCTTGTAATGGACCAAAATCACTGTGGGTACTTGCAATGTCCCTGGGTTCACCCCATATGGCCCTGAGCACAGCTAGGTGTGGACCCAAAACAAAAGCAAAAAAAAAACAAACTCAGACAAGCTGTGCTTAAAGGGAGATATCTCAAAGGGTTAACTCTTATGCTCTACATGTGGGGGTCTAGGTTAGATCCTTAAAACTGATTGAGCGCATGTTAGCACAAGTTTATTGAAGTTACCACTTCAAAAGACCACTTAAGGGGCAATATTCAGGAACAAGCAGCTCTTTGGTCACAATACTGTAGTCAAACTGAGCAGAATCAGGAGCCAAGTTCCTATTTTTCAGATTCAATACCAATTTATAGACCTAGCCTAGTGACTGTTCTGTGCTTCCCACTCATCTCTCCCCCACGCCTGCTTGTCAAAGTCAATCCCAGATTCATATTTTAAGTTAACCATCATGGGGTCAGAGCAATAGTACAGCAGGTAGTGTTTGCCTTGCACATGGCCAACGCAGGTTTAATCCTCAGCATCACAAGCCAGGTAATACTGAGAGGATGGACACAGGGCCACAGCCACAAGGTGTATCATAAACAGTGAACCGCAGCTTCAGAACCATCTGTCTGCTTCTTGGCCACTTTCCCAGTTACAGCATAAACAAGTGACTCAGGTGTACCTGCCTCAAATGCCTGTTGATGTTCTACAAAGTAAGACACCTGTAGGACCTCCGCCAATGCCTACATCCACTGATGAGCATAGAGCCTGTCATGGACAGGCTATTCACAGCACTGATGTATTCCAAGTATTACTTCACAGAACTTAAGCTACTCCTCCGGTGAGATTTTAATACTTGGGATAGGGTGAGATACAGCCGATCCAAGGTACATGCCCCACAACAGTGACTCCTCCCCGCCCAACAGAAAATAAAATACATGGGTCAGAGTTAATCCAGAGGATCAAGTGTTTGCCTTGCCTGTGGCTGATCCTGAGAGTAATCCTGAGCACTGCTAGCTGTAGTCTAAACCACCTTTCCACCCCAATGAATACTACTCCATTTCTTCATACATATTAGACTTCAATTCTGCTCTTGTAAAGGATAATGACTCAATGTAAGATGGTAGTCATAGTTTTATTGCGTCTCGTTATCACAAATAGGTGTGAAGAATCATCCTGTATATCCTGCTTTCTGTAGGCAGAAAACTGTAAAAAAGAAATGAAGAAAACTGTAAAAAAAAGAAAATGTGTGAACCAAGTACTTTCATTTACTATCAAAACTGTTACACCCAAGAAATTTTTCATTAAGCCTAAATAAACAGATCAAATATTTACTAATAAATTCAAGAATTTATTAAACTTCTTCCGCATATTCACATAATCCCATGAGGTTCGAGCTCAGTTTTAGAAGTTAGGCTCTAAATAATCTAAAATGTATTTTAAAATTATGGTTTAGTGGTCCACATTTAAAAAAAAATCCTCCCAAATTAATACTCTTCCAGTTACTGTACACTTAAATGCAAATTTTTACTATTTCCAGTCTAGCTTAAGCAACTAGCAAATTAATAAAATTTACAGCAATAAGAAAATACCTTGGATCTTATTCATCAGCCTGCTGTACAGTTCCTTTTTCAGAAACATAGATACCATCCAAAAACTTTCGGATATCCTTGTTTTTTACTGTTGTGGCTTGCTGAATCAAAGCAGCTAATAAGGGGAAAAAAGACAAAGACCTATCAGTCCAACACACCTCAAAAACCTAACATGCAATACTAAAAACATGAGTATTTTCAACTTAAGTTCTTGGGCCATAGAGCTCAAAGGACTTAGTGATGATCTGCATGCAGGTGTGGGTTTAGTCCCTGACATGTGTCCCCAAAGAGCTGGAAGCAGAAGCCCGAGCACCCCACCATTCAACTAATGTAAAGAAACAACTATTTACTTACAAGGTTGAGGCAAAACCCATACAGTCTACACACCTGAGTTTGATACAAGTTCAATGTCATTTCCTTCAAGAATCAACTCATCTTTCTGGGCCTGAGAGACAGAACAAGCAACACCTACAAGAGAAAGGGCATTTGCATGTCAATATAAAAGTTAATTTGAGGCCATGCTCCTGGCTCTGTAATCACTTCTGGCACTCAGGGGACCATATGGGATGCTGAGGATTGAACCAGGCTGGCTGCACTCAGGGCAAATACTTTACCCGCTGCATAATCCCTCTGGCTGAGATTTTGGTTTTATATAAACCTGACTTCTCTGGACCAAACTCATGTGTCCCAGCTTTAATTTGTCCCAAGTGGTGATTTGCGTACCGTCATTCAACTAAGAAACACCAGGGCTGGAGAAAGAGCACAGGGATTATAGTGCTTGCACATATCCTGCTTCCACTGCCAGCACCACAGAGGGTTCTCTAAGTACTACCAGGAACAATCAAGCAGAGCCAGGAATAAGCCCGGAGTAGCTGGTGTAGGCTAAGAAACCCTCACCCCTAAGAACATAAACTAGCATTTGGCTAGGGCTAGTTTTATTTCTAACATATATCTGGCATCACTCAACAGGTTAACTTTTACACAAGTTATCATAAAAATAACTATTGCCAACATGGAGTCTAGGGAGCAGCCTAAAGGCTGTAGGGCGTACTTTAGAAATAGACGCCTGAAGATCAGGCCCCACAAAGTATGGCTTCCAAGCCCTAAAAGCAAGCCAGGATACCCTCACCTCTGCAGGGGATGGTCCCCCAAACCAACCAAAACTAAAACAGGTAACTTGCCCATGACGGACAGAACAAGATTAAGATCTGAATTTAAGCAGCCAACACTATAAACCACCATGATTTATTACTGGGGCGACACCTGGCAATGCTCAGGAGTTACTCCTGGCTTTGCACTAAGGAATTCACTCTTGGAGGGCTTGGGGACCATATGGGATATGCCAGGGATCAAACAAGTACAAGGCAAGTGCCCTACATACCGTACTCTCTCTACAGCCCCAAATGACTTATTTTCTAATGAGCAATTACATAGATGTCATTCCTGCAAATTACAGCTTAAAATTCTTTAAGAATTACAATTGGTAGAATCAGAAAGGGGAAAGTTGGAGATGCTTGTGCCTTGCAGGCTTCATTTCGGGCAACACATATAGTCCCTCACCGTAACATCATCAGGAGTGATCCCTGACACAGAACCAGCCAGGCCTGCCCATCAACCCAACCAGCAAAACCAACAAAAGAATTACAACAACTGGAACAAAGATAATGTTAAGTCCTAACATTAGAATCTTAAGAATACACATACAACCAACTCTGCTATAAAGCAAATCTGGTTAGTAGCCAACCCAAAACACTAGTGTTAACTGAAATTTTTCATAACATCATCTGAAAGTATCCACATACCTGACCTCATACGAACCCTCCGGATATATTTTTCACCGAGGAAATTTCGGATTTCAACAAGAGACCCATTCTCCTGAATAACCACGTTGATAGGGAAATGGGCATACACAGACCTCATCTTGTAGCGGAAGCCCTGTTAAGTAAATCAATCATTAGCAATGCTGAGAAATCTGAAAGAAAGCTCTTTAGGAGATAGAGATAATTCAGTACAGGGGTTAAAGGGCTGGTATTGCATGCAGCGACCTGGATTCTACTCCCAGCATCACTTACGTTCTCCAGAGCACTGCAAGGAATGATCTGAGCATAACTGGGTGTAGTTCAACCCCTAATGCATCTTAAAACCTTAAACTTACAATTTTAAAGACCCAGACCAACAATTTAGAAAAAACCAGGGATGACTGGAGCAACAGTACAGTGGGTAGGGCATATGCCTTGCAGGCAGCCAAACTGGTCTATCCCAGACATCCCACATGGTTCCCTAAGCATTGCCAGGAGTAATTTCAGAGTGCAGAGTTGGGAGTAACCCCTGAGCATCATCAGGTGTGCTCTGCCTCCCCCCTCCAAAAAAAGCTCTTTATGAAGTTTTAAAATAAGTCACCTCAACCATGACTTAGAAAAATTTTATCCACATTTGTCTCATCACCGAACTGTACAGATCCTTAAGCATTTTTTTTACTATTTCCTATGCCCACAATAATCAAATTATTTGCAGTACAGATAAAATTCCCCCTCCAGGTATGAATAATACCAAAAAACAGAAAAAGAAAAAAAAAGCCTAACCTGATGAGTTGTAGTCAGTAACATTAAAGGCTTTTAAAGAAATAGATGGCAAGTTCAAACAGATGCTTCCTTCCTTGCCCTTGGGTTTACCAACTGGGCTTACCAGTGAGTAAACAAAACCCATTCAAACAAAATTCCTGAAAGCTCCATCCATTTGTGAGGGATGAAGGATGCTTTCAGGCTACTTTCAAGTCTACCCACCTTCCCTAAATCCTAAAGCCCTAGAACCTAGGGATGGTTTCAGTGGAGATCACAACACTTAGATCTGTCTAGGCTTCAAGTATCTCCCCAAATACATACTGAACGATTACTCAAAGTGGCATCCCTTTTGCATACAAAAAATGCAGCCATAGCGACCGTCCACTTACCAGCGTGACCCCCTTGATCATGTTCTGCACATGACTGCAGATGGTGCGGACCGTGGCCAGTTCCTTCCGATTGCCCCACCATTTGTCAACCCGGAGCTGTGTAAGAGAACAAGAAGTTTGACACCCTCCATTCCAGAAACAGGTGTGGAAGTCAACAGTTCACTGACATATACCATTTGGATTTTACTCTAGTTTCTGGGATCAGCCCAAATGAAGCTAAAGGTCTTCAAAATATCGTAAGACTAAGTTGCCACAATCCTGAAACGGTTCAAATATGCTGCACCAAACCTCACTTCCAGAAGAGCTAAAATGCCTAAATAAGACCAACACTGGGGCTGGAGCAATAACCCAGAGGGGGTTTGCCCTGCACATTGCAAACCTGGGTACAATCCCCTCCATCTCATGTACTGCCCTGAGTTCCCCCAGTATAACCTCGGAGCATCTCCAGGTACGACCCAAAAACAAACTAAAGAACCAACACTGGTTCTCCAAAGTCATGCAAAAACAAGCTTGTAGCATCAACAAGAACTGACACCAACGACTGCATGTGGAGCTTTATTATGCATTGCAGAATTTGGGCTGCCACTTCCACTAAAGCCTAACACCCAATCTACCTGTAAGTAACTTTTCTTTAGATTTTTGGGTCGCACCCAGTGGTGCTTGAGGATCTCGCTCAAGTATCTCTCCTGGTAGGGCTCAAGGGACCTTCTACAGTGCAGGGTTCCAACCAGGGTTAGCTGCGTGCCAGAGAAGTACCCAAGCCAGGGCACTGGAGCATCCAAAATGTTCATGCTCTGGACGCTCATGTTTCATGCCTACCCGGCCCCGGAGCAAACACCCTATTATTTCGAGCCTGTCTGCCTAAAACTCCCTCCCGCCCTGGCCCTCGCACCCCCACCCCCGCAAGCAGCACCGTGCAACCCTGCGGAGGTAAGAGAAAGGCGTCTCACCCTCTTCTTCTTCTTGCCGAGGAGGCTGAGCTCCACGTTGATGTGGTTGAAGTCCCTCCGCAGGGTCCCTCGGGGACCCTTCACGATGACCGTGCGACCCTTGAGGGAGATGTCCACTGCAAGAGAAGGAAGTGCATAAGGGCTGGGTGCAGCGGGGCCCGGGGGCGGCCAGATGGGGCGGGGGGCGCGGGCACCGCGGCTCCTACCATTCTCGGGGATGTCCACGGTCTGGTTGCTGAGGATGGTCTTCATCCTGAAACACACAACACTCGGGGTCAGGCGCGGCGGGCAGAGCTCCCCGGGCCCAGGGCGGAGGCGCCGGGGCCCGACCAGGCGGCCAGGCCAGGGCGGCAGGCCCCAAGCCCCCGGAGAACGGGCGGGCCGGCGCCCGCAGCTCCATCCCGGGGTCGCCGCGCGAGGACCCGGCCGGGGCAAAGCGGCGCGAGCGCCAAACGCAAGTTGTCGCCTTCCCCCGACCCGATGGCTCCGGATTCCCCAGCACCACCGAGCAAGGAGGGCACCTCACCTCGCAGTAGATGCGGCAAAGAGAGAGCGTCATGTCGTCATCACGCTCTTGTAGCCCGTCGCGGGCCCTTGCGTATGGCGTCATGAGCGCGCGCCACTGCCAGGCGAAAGCAGCCGATCGCGGAGCGGCGCGAGTGCCTCCGGGTCGGCGGCGCCGCGGGATGACGTCAGAGAACGAGCGCCGCCTGGTCGAGCCGTCCGTTCCCGGGGAGTTGGCATCCCTCCGGCGTGCTAGGGGAAAAATCAAATACTAGTAGGGGGATGTCTCTACGCTGCGGGGGCGCAGCCCGCAGGCTGGGGCCCCGGGTGAGCGGCGGGGCGTGCAGGGGCCGCGGGTGCGGATGGGTGTCGGTGGGGATCCCATCCTTGCAGGGCTTGCAGGGGTCGACACGAGCCTTAACTTCTTGCCAGGACGATTCAGATTTCTTTTTTGATTGATCTGTTGGTTCTCCCGACACCCTTCCCCCCCCCAAAACACACACACACACACACACGAGTTAGTGTCTCCTGTGTCGGGTTGTTTCTAAGTCTCGGACCTGCGCCAAAAGCCATTTGCCTGCTAATCAGTGACTTGCACCCTGTATGTGTTGGAGCACTAGAATAAGCACCCCCGAATTACCGTCCTACTTGTCTTTTGCTGCCCACTGGGCGCCTCTCCGGCCTCTTGACAATGCTTAAGTCTGTGTTCTAGACCTTTGCGAGGGTTCCAGCAGTTCCAGCAGCACCAACAACAGGCACGCGGAATTGTTAAAGGGCGTTCGCTGTAGTGACGTGCACCGACTAGTGAATCTTCACACTGTTTCAGATCTCTTGGGCGCGTCTGTGTTGTCCTCTGCGATTCAGTGGCTTCCTATGATCGACCAGTGATGTGCCATGTTCAAATGCGAAAACGAGGGTGGTGGGCACAGTGGACTGAGTGCATGATTTGCAAGTGGGAGGCCTGGGTTGGTCCCTGTACAGCCTGACCGCCTGGAGCGCTCCTGGGTGCCTCCCAAAAATCAAATTTAAAAGAAAATGCAAAGTAATGTAACCTAGAAAATTAATTTGCTGGCTTTATTTGCATCCTTCCAGGTCTCTGAAACTACTGACTGGGGGTTAGCTCAATGCTTTTCTGTTGTTTGTTTTGTTTCTTGCTTTTTGGGTCACACCTGGCAATGCTCAGGGGTTACTCCTGGCTCTGCACTCAGGAATTACTCCTGGTGGTGCTCGGGGGACCAGAAAGGGTCCTGGGGGTCGACCTTGGGTCAGCCACGTACAAGGCAGATACCCAATCCGCTATACTATCACTCTGACTCCTAGCTCTGTGTTTTACATCTCTTCTAAATTGTAATGTCCCTGACTTGGATTAGGAATAGATGGGCAGGGAGGGGGCAGGACGTGCTTCACATGGCGGTTGGTTCTCAGTGCTTACCCATGAGTCTGTGCTCAAGAATCACTCCTGGTGATGCTTGGGAAACCAGCTATATGTGATGGCAGGGATAAATCCCTGGTTGGCCATGTGCAAGGCAAGCACCCTATCCACAGTACTGTTGCTGCAGCCCCAGTAATAGATTTGAAGTTGGCGTGTGGCATATGTTAGCCAATTCCAAAGCTTTCCCTATCTTTGGGAGCCAGGTTAACATCTGGACAACTTCAGATTTGCTTTATTCCCATTAAGTCCTCCTTATTCTTAGAGCCTAAACTCTTGCACAGTTTGAGCTTGTTGATAGTTTGGCATAATTTTAGAATCTGCTCACTTCTAGGAAATAAGGCATATTATAAAAAGGAAAAAAAATGGGTGGTTGAAGCAATAGTGCAGCAGGTAAGGCTCTTACCTTGCACGTGGCCAAGCTGGATATGATCCTCTACACCACATATGGTCCCTCTCCCCCAAGCCCCACCAGGAGTGATCCCTGAGTGCAAAGCCAGAAGTAAGCCCAGAGCACATCTGGGTGTGCCCCCCAAAAAACAACAAAAAATTTCCAAGTCTCACACAATGAATTGTTTGGGGGCGCTAGAGCAGTAGTACATTGGATAGGACGTTCTGACCATGGTTTACTTCCTGGGATCCCATATGGTCCTCTGAGTTCCGCCAGGAGTGATTCCTGAGTGCCCAGCCAGGAATAACTCCTAAGCATCACTGAATATGGCTCTCACTTCAAAAAATAATAATAATTGTTTCACTAGGTATTTGGGAGATATTTATGCAGTCCAGTCAAATCACTAAGTTCCCTGCCAGATGAGAAAAAGGAATCTTTACATAATGGACCAGACCTTCAAGATTTCATATCTGGGGACCTTGCGGACAAGAGCACCTGGAATGAATATAAAGGAAATTTAAAACGCCAGAAAGGAGAAAGGTAATGGAAATTTGAAGCTGACATGCCCACTCCTTCATCATGCATTTTCAGGTATAATCAAGGCCTAGAGTATATTTTTAATCTTGTTAAATTAGTGAAAAATCATTAGGCTCAATGATAATAGGAATAGATGGAGCAGGTGAGACAGTTGAGGTGTTTTGTGGGTTTTATTTTTATTTTTTTATTTTTTTGGCTCTTTCATGGTTTCTTTTTGACTTTCTTTGGACTTAAAAACCCTACATTGCCATCTTCATTTTTTTTCTCTCAAGCCTCAGATTTCTTTTTTTAAGAAATTTATTATATTAAAACATTGTGAACTACAAAGTTATTTATAGGATTTTTTTTTTTAACTTTTTGGGTCACATCTGGCGATGCTCCGGGATTACTTCTGGTTCTGCACTCAGGAATTACTACTGGCAGTGCTCGGGGGAACCATATGGGATGCCGGGATTAAACCTGGGTCAGCCCTGTGCAAGACAAATGCCCTACCCCCTGTACTATTGCTCCGGCTCCAGGCCTCAGATATTTTTAGTGAGTAAAGCTTATCACCTTGCCAGTTCATTAGACTTTGATCGAGTTTTCATTTTTACCTGGTGTTGATGATCAAAATTGTTCTTAGTGTACATTAAAACAAAAAAAATTAAATATATATATATATATATATGGGGCCCGGAGCAATAGGGAGTGGGTAGGGCATTTGCCTTGCATGAAGCTGACCTGGGTTTGATCCCTGGCATCCCATATGGTCCCCCAAGCACCGCCAAGAATAGTTCCTGAGTGCAGAGCCAGGAATAAGCCCTGTGCATCGCTGGATATGACCCAAAAAGCAAAAAAAAAAAAAAAAAAAAAAACTATGAATGTCAGGGCTTGCGGGAACCATATGGGTTTGCACACAGCCAACTTAGGTTCTGTCCCCTGCACTCCCTTTGGTCACCCAAGCCCAGCCAGAAGCACCTATGGTCACCTTAGCCCCTGAGCATAGACCTAGGAGTAAGCCCTGAGCACTGCCGGATATGGCCCCAAATTTAAAAAATAAAAATAACTATGACTCTTTCTCCTTGAGAGACTCTGAGGGCCAGGAAAGCTAGGTCAAGGAGTGGGAGCATGTACTCTGCAAGCAGCAGCCATGGGTTCATTCCCCAGCACCACTAGGACTGACCCCTCCCCCCATTCATCAGAGAGGAGCCCCTGAGCATCGTCTGATGTGATCCACAGAATATACAAAAAAAGGGGGGCCAGAGCGATAATACAGTGGGGAGGGTGTTTGCCTTGCATGTGGCTGACCTGGGTTCAATCCCCAGCATTCCATATGGTCCATGGTCCCCCAAGTATTACCAGGAGTAATTCCTGAGTACAGGGCTAGGAGTAACCCCTGAGCATCACAAGGTATGACCCCAAAAAGCCAATACACACACACACACACATAGATGTGTGTGTGTGTGTGTGTGTGTGTGTGTATACACCAAAAATTAAGAAAAGACTGATGAGAGGATATCATGCAGAGGGAAAATTGTTCTGCAGGATTGTTTGCCCAACAATTCCTAGATCAGATGGGTAGAGGTAAAGTATACAGTGTAGAACAGAATGTAGAATTGGAAGTAAACTTGTGGGATCTCTCCTTACTCAGAACAAATGTAGAAGGGGCTTGCCTTGCATGCGGCCAGACTGGCTGGATTGGATTCCCAGCAGTCTGGATTCCCAGACTGGCTGGATTGGTCCCCTGAGCCCCAGCAGGACCTAGGTCATACTCAGCAGTGTTTAGAGGTTATTCTTAGCTCTGTGCTTGGCAGTACTCGGGACTGTATGTGGTCTGTGAATAGAAGCAGTGTTGGGGGCTGGAGCGATAGCACAGCAGGTAGGGCATTTGCCTTGCACACTGCCAACCTGTGTTCGATTCCCAGCATCCCATATGGTCCCCTGAGCACCCGCCAGGAGTGATTCCTGAATCCATGAACCAGGAGTAACCCCTGTGCATCGCCAGGTGTGACCAAAAAAAAAAAAGAAGAAGAAGCAGCAGTGTTGGCCACATGGAAGGCAGGAGCCTTCGCCCCTGTAAAGTCTCTCCGACCATTTTGTCAGCATTTTGACAAAACTTATGGGCCAGAGCAATAGTACAATGGGTAAGGCGCTTGTCTTGCATGTGGTCGACCTGGGTTCCATTCCCAGCATCCCATATGGTCCCCAGAGCACTGCCATGAGTGATTCCTGAGTACAGAGCCAGGAGTAACCCCTGAACATCACTGATGTGACTCAAAAAGCTGAACAAATTACAAAATATATAAAGTTAAAAAAAACCTGGGGCTGGAGTGATAGCACAGTGGGTAGGGCGTTTGTCTTGCACGCGGTCAACCCGGGTTTGATTCCCAGCATCCCATATGGTCCCCCGAGCACCGCCAGGGGTAATTCCTGAGTGCATGAGCCAGGAGTAACCCCTGTGCAACGCCGGTGTGACCTAAAAAGCCCAAAAAAAAAAAAAAAAACTTGCTTATATGGGGACATGAAGGTTTGGCCTTGCTAAGCATGGTCCCCCAGGAGCAACTCTCAAACTCATAGCCAAGAGTAGCTCAGAGCCAGGTGTGACCCCAAAATCAGAAAACCCCAAACTTCATTTTTTAAAATTAGGGTAGTATAATTCTATGCCTTTACCAAATGTAGCTGAGATCTTATTCCAGTTGGCTTTTGTTATTAGTTTGAGCAAAACCAAATTTGATTCTTTGTCTTCTTTTGAAGAAATTATAAGAATTTGTTTAGAATTATGGCTAGAGAAAAAGTCCCCCTTAACTAGAAATTGTAAATAGAGCAAAGTAGTTTCGGAGCTGTGTGATTGTTCAGGAACAAACTTGCTAATGAACAGAGTGTTTCACTTTCCTCAGGCTAAGACTCCCCCCATGGCTAAAGACAGAGATTCCCATTGGGAAAAATTACAATAAACTGAAAAATACACTGCGGAACTTAAATCTCCACACAGTAAGTTGTCAAAATTTTAAATATTCTTTAACCAAAAAGCATAAACATTTCTACATAGGTGTAACTTAAAATTGGTGAAAGTAATTGTTTTTTGTGTTTCTGAGCATATTAACAGCACACATACACACACACACACACACACACACACACACCACACACTCCTTGGGTGTATGTGTGTAGTAATGCCTTGGGTGTCTGTGTGTGGCCCTGGATTTAATGCAAGGCTCCACCCATCCCCACACCCTTCAGAAAAATCCCTTTAGCTTAGGAGATGAGAATTTGTTACAAATAAAATATGTGCTTGTTGGAAAGAGTATAAATGTTAGATGTTAAATATGAAATGTCACATACTTGCCTCTAGACATTAAACATTTAATATATGTTCTTCTAGACTTTTTTTCTTTGCACATGAAATATATGCATGCATGGATTTTTTTTTTTAAATGTAAAAGTGAAATCCTGACACATAGAACTTGGCATTTTCACATTTTTAAAAGTCAGTGTTGGGGAATTGGAGCGATAGTACATTAGGGAAGGTACTAAACTTCGACTTGTCCAACCTGGATTCAGTCCCAGCATCCCATTGAGTCCCCAGCCACTGCCAGGAATAATTTGCAGGTACAGAATCAGAAGTAAGCCCTGCGCATCACTGGGTGTGCCCCCCCAAAAAAAAACAAGCAAAAAATTAAGTACACGTGAATGTCTTCACAAGAGTGTTGTGTAGGGTGCCACTGAGACCATGTGCCCTGCGCGTCTCTTTTCTCCCCCAGGTGTGCGAGGAGGCCCGCTGTCCCAACATCGGAGAGTGCTGGGGAGGGGGCGAGTATGCCACTGCCACCGCCACGATCATGGTAAGGCCAGCTCCGCGCGCCAGGGTCAGTCCAGAAGCCTTTCTCCTGAAGAAAGGACACCGGTCAGGAGTTTTCTACCACACGGGGCTGTGAGGCGTTTGGGGGCAAAACCTACACAGGCTTTTCCAGCCATTATGCTCTCACCCTTCTTTCACTGAACAATCTGTCATTGATTCTTCCATCTCTCAGTCATTTACTGCCTTCGGTGCCATTTCGGGGGGCTGGGGTGATAGCACAGCAGGCAGGGTGTTGCCTTGCATATAAGCAAGCCCACTTCATCCCCAGCATCACATACAATCACCAGAGCCGCACCGGGTATAATCCCTGGGTACCGCCAGTTGTGGCCCGGCCCAAAACCAACGGTAACAGGTGTCGCTTCTGTAGATTCCTGGAGCTGCTATTGCTAGTTGCTTCCCTCCCCCTGTACTCCCCCACGACACACACTCACGGTTCTGTCCTGTGGGTCTTCTCCTTGACTGCATCAGCTCTCCTTTGGGCCAGGCTGGATTCCAGAGGTAGGATATGGGTTCGGGTTTGCTCCTTAGAGCCTCATTCTGCTTGGACTAGCAGCTTTCCAAGGCGTAGTAAAACTTGGAAAATGGAAGCACAGGAGGGCTAACAGGCCCATCGTCCATGCCTCCCCAAGGCTTCTGGGTCGTGACTGCTGTGGTCATTCTGCTGGCCAAGGTCAGTCTCCTAGCCAAGCCAAAGAGCAGCGGGAGAGCCCTGTCAGTTACAGGCCAAGGATGGGAGAGATAACCTGAGTATTGTATGGGGAAGTGAGAACTGGGCTCAGTGCAGTTTGTCATACTCACCTGGAGGGGCTCGGAGAGCCAGCATTTGGGGCTGAATCTAAATAATACACAACTGGGGCTGAAGCAATAGCACAGCGGGTAGGGCATTTGCCCTGCCTGCGGCCAACCCAGGTTCGACTCCCAGCATCCCATCTGGTCCCCTGAGCACGCCAAGAGTAACTCCTGAGTGCAAAGCCAGGAGTAACCCCTGTGCATCACTGGGTGTGACCCAAAAAGCAAAAATAAAAAGGTAAAGGTAAAAGCCCTCCCGTTGTTCATCGATTTGCTCGAGCGGGCCCAGTAACGTCTCCGTTGGAGACTTTGTTGTTACTGTGTTTGGCATATCGAATACGTCACGGGGAGCTTGCCAGGCTCTGCCGTGCGGGCGAGATACTCTCGGTAGCTTGCCGGGCTCTCCGAGAGGGGTGGAGGAATCGAACTCGGGTCGGCCATGTTGGCTGCGTGCAAGGCAAACGCCCTACCACTGTGCTATCGCTCCAGCCCAAAAAGCAAAAATAAATAAAAATAAACTAAATGATACGCAACCGAAGGCTGAGACCTTCCTGGGAACATCTGACAGACTGGGGAGCTCTACTGCAGGAAGCTCACTGTTACCACGAGGAACTGGGACTTCTGAGAAAGCTCGTTCTGGCAGCTGCTTACCCAAGTCACGAAGCCAATTTTTCAGGGAGGGGGTGATTGAGAGCTTCTTGATGGATGTCGGTGACTTCTTCCCCACAGCTGTTGGCTCCCCAGGCCACCAGGAGCACCCTAGGTGAGGTGGCCGGGGAAGAGCATTCTCTTGTGGCCTGCTTGGTCACGCACAGAGCTCTGAAATGCTGGCCTGGATGAGCCCACAGTTCATCAAGAGAATAAGGCCAGCTGAAAGCTGGAGCCATGGGTAGGGACAGCCGGCTTCTGCCGGCCCTTGGAAGGGCTCCTGAAGAGGCCATCCATGTGCAGAATGGACTCTGGCCCCACTTCAGGCTCCTGGGTGCCACTGGGGAGTGTTCTTGGCATGGGGAAGGCAAGAGGTTTGCCTTATGGGGCTGAGGGGAAGGGTGGTGGTGGTTTGGGCTACACCTGGTGCTGTTCAGGGCTTATTCCTGGCTTTTGTGCTGAGGGATCACTCCAGGAGGTACTCAGAGAACCATATGGGGTGCTGGGGATCAAAACCTGGTTGGCCACATGCAAGGCAAGAACCCTACCCACTGTACTATCTTTTCTGGTTCCTCAAAAGTACGTTTCGGGGGGGGGGGGCAAAGAAGGCGCCACACCCAGAGGTGCTCGGGGGTTACCTCTGGCTGTGCATTTGGGAATCACTCCTGGTGGGGCTTGGGGGACCATATGGGATGCCGGGGATGGCCATGTGCAAGCCACGCATCCTCCCTGCTGTCCTGTCACTCTGGCCCCCTCGAAAGTGCATTCCTGAGGGTGACTCCTGTTTGATTTGAATGGTGACATCTCTGTTCCAGTTGATGGGGGACACGTGTACGAGGGGTTGCAGGTTCTGTTCTGTGAAGACAGCAAAAGCCCCGCCACCCCTGGACCCCAAAGAGCCCTACAACACCGCCGAGGCCATCGCCGCGTGGGGTCTGGATTACGTGGTCCTCACATCCGTGGACCGAGACGGTCAGTGCGCCAGCACCTGCCCAGACTCCGGCCCTCCTTGAGGCGTGCGCCCACCTGAGCTCTGGCTTCTTTTGTCTCTAGATCTGCCCGATGGAGGAGCCGAGCACTTTGCAAAGACCGTGTCATTCCTGAAAGAGAGGTACTTGGCTTTTGCCTTCACTGGTCCTTGAGGAACTTTGGAGGGAGGATCCCTATAAATTTGGCTCATGTAGGATCATTACCTCAAGACGGCGCTCATCAACCTCTTGGGGGATTTCCTTTCCTGATGCCTGCAGGGAATAGTCTCCTCTTCTCTCTCCCCACCAAAAAGTAGCAGTCAAGTATGCAGGCCTATATGCACAGAAGTTTTAGGGGCACAGAGATGTATCTCCACAGAGAGGAGTTGATGAAGCCCCTCCTTTACAGTTGATTGTCGGTGGATTTTGGGAGGGAGTTGTTTAAGGCAGTGTAAAATGCTGGCTGGAGAGCTCAGAGGGCCAGAGCGCTTGCACTGCATGCAGAAGATCCGAATTCAAGGATTCAATCGCCAGCACTGCCAGATGTGGTCCAGACACTTGACATACACCTAAGAGAAGGGCCAGGCTAGAGCTCACGAAGCCTAGCCCAGGCGTCCCTGAGCACCGCCGGTGTTCCAATGACAAACCACATGCTAAGTCATGATCGTTAACCGATGTCCTTGGGGTTCAGAATCTACATTCTTATCAGTACTTGAGGCCTGTCTCTTAATGAGCACAAAAAAGAGAGTCAGTTGTACTTAGGTAGCATCTCAGTACTTAGTGTTTTCTCAGTGGTTTCACCACTCTTTGATATTTTTTAATGTACCAATATTTGATATTTTTTAACATTTGATTTGTGGCTGGAATACATGCTCTGTGCGGGAGGCCTGGGCTCAGATACCAGCACCGCATGGTCCCCTGAACTCCGCCAAGGACAGGGCCAGGAGCAACACTCGAGCACCTCCGGATGTGGCACCAAAATGAAAAGGAATTAAGCCTACTGCAAAGCCTACTGAACTGATTTTACGAGATACTTACGAGTGTCTCAGTTTGCAGTTGGAACCAGTCAGGCTTCATTCTGGAATTATCAGCCCTGCCTGGGGTCTTCCTTTCTCTGCTTCATGGGCTTTTTCTCTCTCCTTCTTTGTATTTCCTAAGTAGAATCATTTTATTTAAAAATATAAAACCCAGAGAGTGCTCGGATGTATCCTGTTTTTGTTTGGTTGGTTTGGATGTTTGGGCCGCTCTCAGCAGCGTTCTGGGATCAGTCCCAGCAGTGCTTGGGCCCGCGTGGGGCAGGGAGCTCGCCCAGGCCCCCCACGGACATGGCCTGTGCTCCCCAGGCAGAGGAAGTATCTTCCTACGTTTCTCCATGGGAGGAGAGATCTGTTTCCTCTCTACATGAGTGTTTCTTAGGAAACCGCTCCAGAAACATTATCATGGGTTTATGAAAGCTATCAATTGTCCCAATCTTTCCTACTCCTATCAAAGGGAATAACAACTCTATTTTTAAAAGTTTTGGCGGGGATGGGGGGGGCAGTTTTTAGGGCCACACCCAGCAGTTCTCAGAGATTACTCGTGGCTCTGCACTCAGGAATTACTCCTGGAGGTGCTCGGTGGGGCCCAGATGGGATGCCAGGGATCGAACCCAGGTCAGCTATGTGCAAGGCAAATGCCCCACTCGCTGTACTATCACTCCTGCCCAGTAACTTCATTCTCTCAAGATTCTAAAAATTGAGGGTTCTGAGAGACAGTGCGGGAGCTAACGCACTTGCCTGTGTGCAGCCTACCCTGGTCAGTCTGCTGCCACATAGTTCCCTGAACACAGCCAGGCGTGAGCCCTGAGCACAGCTGGCGGGGGGTCGAAACTGATACCGAATCAGTGCTCTTTATTTCTGTCTGAGCAGTAGTTACCTCAATTCCTTTCTCAATTTGATTCTCGCCTTTCCCCCTCAAGGAACCCAAAGATTCTTGTGGAATGCCTCACCCCTGATTTCCGAGGAGATCTCACAGCAGTAGGAAAAGTTGCTCTGTCAGGATTAGATGTGTATGCACATAATGTAGAAACGGTTCCAGAATTACAGAGGTAATTTTATGTAAGGATAACCGTGGGAGGTTGGGAGGGTCAAACTCTGAAGTCAGAGGAATATTTGTTATTGACTCTTAGAAAAATGAAACACTTTTAAGTACTATATATATTATTTAATAATTAATATTATTTAAATATATATTAACGGTGTCATCTATTCATGAAAACCATAAACAATAAAGGTAAAGGTAAAGGTAAAGGCCCTCCCGTTGATCGTCGATTTGCTCAAGCGGGCCCAGTAACGTCTCCATTGGAGACTTTGTTGTTACTGTGTCTGGCATATCGAATACTCTTGGTAGCTTGCCGGGCTCTCCAAGAGGGGCGGAGGAATCGAACTCGGGTCGGCCATGTTGGCCGCTTGTAAGGCCAACGCCCTACCGCTGTGCTATGCCAAACACAGTAACAACAAAGTCTCCAATGGAGACGTTACTGGGCCCGCTCAAGCAAATCGACGATCAACGGGAGGGCCTTTACCTTTATAAACAATACCCATAACATTATTAACTCCTGATAGTATCTTTGTGTAAATATGTGTTTATATGTTTTTGTTTATTCACATAATGAGAGCCTTTTTTTCTTTTTTTTCTTTTTTCTTTTTGGCGGGGGGTGGGGGGGTTACACCTGGCGATGCTCAGGGTCACTCGTGGCTCTGCACTCAGGAATTACTCCTGGCATTGCCCAGAGAATCATATGGGATGCTGGGAATCATACCCGGGTCGACCGTGTACAACGCAAACGCCCTCCCCACTGTACTATCACTCCAGCCCGAGCATATTTTTTTTTAAAGGCTCATATAGTACCGCAGGAGAGGCATGCACAGCTGACCTGGGTTTGATCTTTGACACCTGCATATGGTCCCTCAAGCCCTGAGCACACGCATGAACCCTGAGCACAGCTGGGTATGGTCCAAAAACAAAAGAAGAAAAATAAGATAAAATAACAGCCGCAGATCAGTTTCACAAAATGCATATCAGAGAGGGTCATGTTTAACCTAAGTGACTCTCTGTCCTTCACGTCATGTCACATCTGCGCACAGTGGTTGGGCCACTGCTGAAACCCAGCACACTGCCTGCTCTCACCCTGCCGTATCTCATGGTACCACCACCAGTAGGTGCCAGCCAAACCGGGTTTCACCCTTGAAACATTCTCTCCAGTGAAAATTCCAGAAAACTGCCTTTTTTTTTTTTTAAACCCCAGTGGTTTCCCTTTCTACGCTCACCAGCAGAGGGCAGCTTAGTCTTTTAGAAAAGAAAGCATAAAAGTTTCAGCCCTCTGAAATGCGGATTTGGGTTAAACCGTTTTTCTTTGTTCACGGTGAAGATTTTATTTTCAGTAATCTTTCACTCCCTTTTGCCAATTTCTTACAGTCACCCAACCTCAGCTTCAGAATTTTGGTTTCTCAATAAGCAATTCATTAACAGAATTACTTGCATTTTAATATAAACATTTTATAAACATTTTTGTCCTGGGTTTAAAGGCCTTAAAAGTCAAGAACAAGGAGGTCCCACGAGACCTTATTTCCTGTTCTAAAGAAGTAGGCCTTGGCGTGCGGACCACTGCCGAGCCGCGGGGTACACCCGACTGTCCAGAACATGCTTTTCCGGTCTCCCGGGCGCTTGCACAGTCAGATATTTACTCAGTTGAGCCCGTGACCGTTCTTGCTGACAGCAGCTCTGCTCTTTTCAAGGAAAGTTCGCGATCCCCGGGCCAATTTCGACCAGTCTCTCCGTGTCCTGAAACATGCCAAGGAGGTCCGACCCGACGTTATTTCTAAAACGTCTATAATGCTGGGTTTAGGCGAGAGCGATGAGCAAGTCTATGCGACGATGAAAGGTAAAAGAATTGAGACACGCTAGGGGGCGGGGCACTTGCCTGCTCGAGGCTGACCGAGTCCAATCCCCACCACCATATACAGGCCCCAGAGCACTGCCAGCAGTGGGGGCCCTTCACTTCCCACCCACCCCCCAAATAATGTCTGGAAGAGGAAGAGAGAGAGTGAAGGGGTTAGAGAGGCAGTACATGAGTTGCACGTGGCCAACCTGAGTCCCAACCCCTGGGACCACCCCCAGCTACACCGTGCTTGCTAAAGGAAAAAGTGCTCTGAGTGAGGACTGGGGTGGGGCAGAGCTTCAGGCTCATGCCCCTGGGCCTGACGTCAGTCCCAGCACTTGAAGCAAAAACAAAAACAAAAACCAGCTCTCTTGTTTTTAAAGGGGAGTTTGGGATAGGGGTGTGTTTTTCTTACTTGTTTTGGGGGCTGCTGGGGATTAGACTAGAGCCTTGTCCTTGGTCCACAGAGCTGCATCCTCACCCTCAGGCTGCCTTTACCTGTGGGTCTTTGACCTCCAACTATTTATCAGTGTCCTTTTAGTCCTGCCTCCAGCAAATCAATGAACAATGGGAGGACAGTGCTACAGTTTTTCTGTTTGTCTTTTGGGCCACACCCAGCGGTGCTCAGGGCTTACTCCTGGCTCTGTGCTCAGGAGTCACTCCTGGCAGGCTCAGTGATGCTGGGGATTTAACCTGGGCTGGCCGTTTGCAAGGCAGACGCCCTCCCCACTGTATTGCTGCTCCAGCCCCAGTCTTTACCTTTGAAATCAGGTGAGACTTTTCCTTCTTCAGTAGTTGGACAGTGTACATGCAGGAGTTCTGATGGACGGGGACAGCTCAGATGAGTGAGAGCCAGGCCCTGAGGAACGGCTGACTTGGGGCACTTGTCACAGACACAGGGTACTGTGTGGTATTATGTGCTATGTATCCTATAGGCCCTGTTTCTTTCTGATTCTTGGGCATTTAACATTTTTTCAATGTAAAGGCTATTTTACCTGAGCCTCTTTGACCTACTTGCAATTATTTATTTATTAGCGCAAGTTGTAACTGAAAGCTAGTCTTCGCTACAGCACGTTAGAAAAATTCTAATAGATCAAAGACCAAATCGCATCTCCCTGAGCATGTCTTATATGTTTAGTATAAGCCTATAAAGCATGTCTTTTAGATCTGTTTTGTTTTGTTTTTATTTATTTTTTTGCTTTTTAGGTCACACCCGGCAATGCTCAGGGGTTACTCCTGGCTCTGCACTCAGGGGTTACTCCTGGTGGTGCTCAGGGGACCATATGGGATGCTGGGAATCGAACCCGGGTCACCGCGTGCAAGGCAAACGCCCTACCCGCTGTCCTATCTCTCCAGCCTCTGTTTTTATTTTTATGGATGTCTGTTCCTCTTCTGGCAGCTTCGGCTTGAGAATACATCACCCATGTCCGGCTCTTAATATGGATGTTCTCAGGCCCTTCGTGAACTGTTCCTTTCAACTGTTCTGCCTAACAGACTCCCACTCTAAAAGCCCTCTACCTCTGTTTTAGTGGCTGGAAAAATAGTGGGAAAGGCACTTGCCTTGCACTGCCTTATGAGCCCCTGAGCCCAGCAGGAGGGATTCTTGAGCACAGACCAGGGGCACAGCTGGGTAGAGCCCCAAAACAAAAATATTAAAAATAGAGGCCCTGTGCCGGACAGTACAGCGGGTAGGTGTTTGCCTTGCACATGGCTGACCAGAGTTTGATCTGCAACATCCCATATGGTTCCCCGAGCACTACCAGGAGTGATCCCTGAGTATCGCTGATGTGGCCCCAAAAGCAAAATAATAATAATAATAATAGTAATAGTAATAAACCCTCCCCCTCTAGTTTAGCACATGCTTTATAATATCAGGGTTAATTTAAGCCTTATGTCTGCCAACCCCTGTGGGTTTTTGGATCGTGGATATGTTTTCAGTCTTTACGTGCTTCCTGGCATGGAAATGCTTGGGGTGGCAGAGTCGGACTCCAGAAAGAGGATTATTGGCTAATGGAAGTTCACAGTGTTCTGAAGTAGAATTTTGTCTAACTCACAGTTGTCACTTCACTGAGACTTCTAATGTCACATGTGCTTCCCCCCCAGCCCTTCGTGAGGCAGATGTGGATTGTTTGACCTTGGGACAATATATGCAGCCAACAAAGCGCCACCTTAAGGTACGTCGGTCATGGAAGGGCAACTGTTGGCCCAGAGCTATGGACAGTGGTTTGGGCCACTGACCTGGGTGCGATCCCCGAATCCCCCATGGTCTACGGAGCCTGCCAGGGGGTTCCTGAGCACAGAGCCAGGAGTAAGCCGTGAGCATGCCAGGCGTGGCCCAAAAATAAACAGAAAGAAAGAGCAGCTGTTGGTGGATGGTTGGGGTGAGTAGGTCAGAGTAAGCTGCTGGCAGGGCCCGGAATACAACACGCAGCACAGGCTTCACAGGTGTGAGGCCCTGGGCTCACCCCATCCCCAAAAGTGAAGGAAAAGGAAGAAGTGCTGGCCTTTTAGTGTAATGTTACTTTTCTTTTTTAAGATTTAAAACAGATCTGGGACTAGAGAGAGAGTACAGGGGCGTAAGGCTGTTGCCTTGCATGTGGCTGACCTGGATTGATTTGCGTCCTGAGCACAGCCAGAAGTAGCCCCCAAAACCAAAATAAATAAAGGTGTAAAACAGGGCTAGAAGATAAGGCACTCACCTTACATGTAGCAGCCAACCCAAGTGTTGGATCCTCAAGCCTCACCAGGAGTAAAGCCTGAGCACAGCCAGGTATGGCTACAAAACAACAAAAATAAATAAATAAATAAATAAAAACCAAAAAAGGTGAAAACACCCATTGTTGCCTTTGTGGAGCCACCTCAGCAGTGCTTAGGGACTATTTCTTCAGGTTTTTGGGGGTTTTTTTGGCAGGTGGAGGTGGCCCACCAGCAGTGTTTAAACCCCTGCCCTACTGACCAGACTCTCTTTCTCTGGCCCCAGGGCTTTTCCTGGTTTCCTTGGGGACTGCCATGCAGAAACCTCACCGGGGGGTCCCCAGGCTGACCATATGCTCACACTGGGAGCTGTCTCCTGACCCTCAGTGTGTCTGTTTAAATAACTCCCTGGTGGGGCTGGAGTGATAGCACAGCAGGTAGGACGTTTGTCTTGCACGTGGCCGACTTGGGTTCGATTCCCAGCATCCCATATGGTCCCCCGAGCACCGCCAAGAGTAATTTGTGAGTGCAGAGCCAGGAGTAACCACTGTGCATCACCGGCTGTGACCCAAAAAGCAAAAATAATAATAATAATAATAAATAACTCCCTGGTGGTTCCAGAATGCTTTTGTGCCAGCCTCTAAAGTTGCAGTCCTTTTTACACACCTGGCTTTCCTTCAAACCTGGGAAAGCACAGCGTATTTTCCAACAGACTGTTTACACCCCTTTCCCTTGCAGACACACTTTCAAGGGTCCCTCAGTCAAGCAGATGTTCAAGTTCCACTTTCCATTTTCTCATCCTGTGTCCGTCAGCTAGCCGGGCACTCTCCCGCCCTCAAGATTGTGCAACTTCAGTGAACACACAGAAAAAGAATGTGAAATTGGGAAATTGGTCTGGGATGATAGCATCAGGGGCTGGAATCCATGCCGTGGATACGGGAGGCCCAGAGCTTCCACCCTGCCACCACCTTCCCACCCGCCACGACCCTGCCTTTTAGTCCTGGTGACACCAAGCTCCACCAGGACATCGCTGTGCCAGCCTGCACCTCCAGGTGTGGCGTCACTGAGAGAGGTCCGTAGGTGCCCCAGGATCACTGCAGAAGTCCCTGTAAAAATAAGTGGAGAAATTACATTAATTCACACTAAGTGATATTGTGGTTTATTTTTGGGTTACAGTACTGGGCCTGCTCGAGCAAATCAACGAACAACGAGAGGGCCTTTACCTTTACCTTTAGGCAAGCCAGAAATGAAGTTAGTCTCGCTATTCCTTCCTGTATTTCTGGAATGGTCATTTATTCTTTTATTCAAAACACTTGTTCACAGTATCACGCTAAATGAAATGAGTCAGAAAGAGAGGGACAGACATAGAAGGAATGCAGTCATTTGTGGAATATAAAGTAACAGAATGGAAGACTAACACCCAAGGATAGTAGAGATAAGGACCAGGAGGATTGCTCCACAGTTTGGAAGCCGGTCTCGCATACGGGGGACAAGGCAACTCAGATAGAGAAGGGAACACCAAGTAAAGGGTGCTAGTAGGGCCCGCTTGGGATGGGAGATGTGTGCTGAAAGTAGACTATAGACTGACCATGATGGCCACTTAATGCCTGTATTGCACACCACCACAACAACCCAAAGGAGAGACAGAGTAAAAGGGAATATGCCTGCCACAGTGAGGGGTGGTGGTGGGAGGGATACTGGGATCATTGGTAGTGGAGAATGGGCATTAGGGGAGGGATGGGTACTCAATCATTGTATAACTGAAATGTAAGCACGAAAGTTTCTAAGTCTATAACTGTACCTCACGTTGATTCACTAAAAAAAAATTATATATACATATGCATATGTATATGTATGTATATATGTACATATGTATATATATAAAAATATGCAATTACTTGATGGCAATTCCAAAAAAAAACCCCACTTGCTCGTGCCAGACACCAGGAAGAGCAGGAGATAGACAGGATGAGTCTCGGGCACAGTCATCTCGGACCTGACTAATCCTCGGTATCTGGACACTCACGTACTCACCTCTGAGGTCATCTCAGACTCCCTTCCTGTCCTTCGAATTATCATACAGCTGTTCCCCTCCCTCCTGCTGGTGGGACTTCAGGAAGAGGAAGCCCGGGAGCTGGGAGCAGGCGCCAGGCGCCGTGGAGTCCCTGGGCAATTGGGAAGCGAAGCCATCAAAGGCTGGGTGTGCGTTTTTTATAGAATGAAAATTATTTTAGGGAATTTCTAAAATCAGTTAGAATTTATTCTTTACATATCTAGGTTGAAGAATACATTACTCCTGAAAAGTTCAAATACTGGGAAAAAGTAGGAAATGAACTTGGATTTCATTACACTGCCAGTGGCCCTCTGGTGCGCTCTTCATACAAAGCAGGTAAGGACTGGAGGCGGGGGCGGGGGGGGCACATCATTTTAAATGGTTTTTCTAAAGTTCAGGCACCTTGATTTACAGGGCTTTAGATTTTATGTTAGTGCATACACCACCCCCGCCTCGGTGACATTGTCCCCCCACCACTGCCCGGGGTCCCTTCTCGTTTGCCGCTTGTCCCTTGGTGAACCCTGCTCTGTTAGCAGAATCTGTGAGTTTGTTTTCCTTGGCCATTGTCTCGCCCCTTGCTTTGTTTCCTTACGTATTACACATGCCAGCGAGACCATCCAATATTTGTCTTTCTCCACCTGACCTATTTTGCTTAACATGACCTGCTCCTGTTCTATCCCAAGTTGTTAGCAAAACGCACAATTTCCTCTTTCATAACTGATTAAAATTCTGCTGTGTCTGTAAAGAACAAAGGGCATAGTTTTGTTTAAACTATACCTCTCCACATTAACTTCTACTCCAGATCCCAAAGTCCCAGGGTAAATTATAATGGCTTTGGTTATCTTTTGTGGGGGAAATAAAAATTGCTTTTCTGGAACATTCTTAGGAGATTTGCTTCATAGGGATCATAATAAAGAGGGTGGGGAATCTCTTGGGACCAGAGAGGCAGCACAGCAGTACAGCAAGTAGGGCACTTGTATGCGGCCAGCCCCAATTTAATCTCCAGCAGCAAGTATAGACCTTCAGGTACTGCTGGATAAGACCCCTGGCATAGATCCAAGCCAGGAGTGAGCCCTGAGCACTGCAGGTGTAACATAATTCCCCTCTCCCACCCCTCCAGTCTCTTATGCCTAGTTTGTCTCATAAATAAAGAGTCACTCATTCTCTTCATGACTCATCTGTTGTGATGAAAACAGAAATAATCCATTTATTCAGTGTGGATTTCAATGGCAGGTTATTCAGAAATGATAAATATCAGTTAAACATATGACATGGTTTTCTGAAAAATCTATCTTTTGACAGTGATGCTAGTTAGGTCTCCAGGGTCCCAATTTCACATCAGTTTAATGTCTGAAGAGTATATTACTGATAGCATTGTTGTTTGCATCAGTAATATCTCAGAGCAACAAAAACTATTCCGTAAAATTTTTCTTTTTCTTTTTTTTTGTGGGGGGGTCACACCCAGCGATACTCAGGGGTTACCCCTGGATCTGCACTCAGGAATTACTTCTGGTAGTGCTCAGGGGACCATATGGGATGCTGGGGATTGGACCCAGGTCAGCCGCATGCAAGGCAAATGCCCTACCTGCTGTAATATCGTGGAGTAATTCCTGAGTGCAAGCCAGGATATGTTCGGGCCAAGTGCTATTGGTTTTGCTCCCCTCAGTTTTGCATGAGGTGTGGAAGAGCAGAGATTATACACTCTATTCCCTGGCTGGATTGTCAGCCTTGGGGTTCTTAATGACTGTGTACAGATAATGTCAAGACAACCCTGTATTTAGGTCCCAAAGAGGAGTCTATCAGGCTGCTGGTAAACTCAGACCTGCCTGCCAGCGCTACTGATAGATAGGGCAGATGCGGGTAGAGTATTTGCTTTGCCTGTGGCCGTCCGGGTTTCATCCCCTGAATCCCACATAGTCCCCTGAGCACTGCCAGAAGAAATTCCAGGAGTCACCCTTGAGCATCACTGTGTGTGATTCCAAAAGCAAAAATAAACAAATAAACAAAAAAAAAGAAAAAACCTCAGCCCTGTTGTAACAACAAGGAACATTGAAGGCCTGGGCCGAGCAGGGGTGCCTGTATGCAGAGGTGTGCACCCGTGGGCTGGAGAGAGGCTAATGTGAGTGACTCTCCCCTGAGGGGGGCAGCGCGGGAGATGCCAGCAGTTGGGGGTGGGGGGGAGGGCACTGGGCTACTCTGGGGCTGTGTTGCTTGTATCAGTTGGTGGGACAAGGGGGGATGAGCAGTGCATCAAGCGGGCAGAAGCTGACCCTCATCCACAGAATTACTCGCTCCTGCTGGGCTACTAGGAAGGGCCAGGAGACCCAAGCAACGACAGCAGGGAGGCCAGAGTGCTCGAGGGTCTGTCTGGGGCCTGGGTTCAGTCACCAGCCTCAGAGAGGGGAAGACTCACGGTGCATAATTAGTGTTGGGGGAAGGGCCCGAGAAGGGGGGTCTCTGAGGTCGGAAACCGAGTGCCACTGAGATGGAGACCAGGGTTCAGTGGGTTCCAGGGTCCTCCCCGGAAGGAGGGGACCTCACCTTCTCCCCGGAAGAACACCGTGAGGTGATGATGCCGCAGGGAACTTCTAAACTGTAACTAACGCATTTTCATTTTCCCTAAATAGGTGAGTTTTTCCTGAAAAATCTAGTGGCTAAAAGAAAAACAAAAGCTCTCTAATGCACACAGCCTCCCAGGACACAGAGCCTCTTCTGAGCTGATCCCAGTCAGCAGTGCAGGGCTTGCAGAAGGCCTCAGCTTCAGCGATGAGCCCCGGCTGCCTGCTCTTAGAACAGTGTCCATGTACCGTCGTGAGAAAAGGTCACTCAGCTTCTACCTTCTTGATCCCACTAAGCAATCGCTTGCTATGATGTAATCATAATGTGATATGAGAGTTTGCTGTTAATTTAAAAATACATTTAAAAACTGTGATTAACAGTATTGTAAACACTGGCACCTTAATAAAAATGATTGAAAAATACATTTTTAACTCTGTAAGATCTTCTGAGTCACGCATGTGTGTCTGTGAACTGCAGTTTTCACAGTACCCAATTGTAAAATAATTATAATAGTGTTTTAGTAGCACATAGATATGTTAATATTTCAGATTTAGGGCCAGAGACAGCTTAGAGGGTATGCGTGTTGCCTTTCATGCAGAAGGCAGGGCTCAATTCCTGCCTCTCGGTGACCAGAACAGTGGGTGTGGCCAGCCCGAGTTCCATCCCCAGCACCGCATATGGTCCCCCAAGCCCTGCCAGGACTGATCCCTGAGCTCAGAGCCAGGATTAAGCTCTGAGCACAGCTGGGCGTGGCCCCCAAAAAAACCTGTCTCAGCATGTTTCCGAACATCACCACCAGCAACTGCTGAACACTGAATTGCAAATAGCCCCTGAGCATTTCTGGATGGGGCCCACATACTAAAATAAAAATAAATTTTAAAAAATGTTTTAAAGGGGCTGGAGCGATAGCATAGTGGGTAGGGCGTTTGCCTTGCATGTGGTCAACCCGGGTTCGATTCCCAGCATCCCATACGGTCCTCTGAGCATTGCCAGGAGTAATTCCTGAGGGCAAAACCAGGAGTAATCCCTGAGCATCACTGGGTGTGACCCAAAAAGCCAAAAAAAAAAAAATGTTTTAAAGTGTTTGGTCTTGCAACCTCAGGATTAGCTCTCCCATGAACCTTGAAACAGGAATAGCAGGAAATATCTGTTTCAAAGTAGAAACATAAGTAGTATCTTCGAGGCCTGACTTCTATTCCCTTGTAACTGCACAACGGGTCCCGGTACTGTGAACAGACTTGGGGGACCTAAGGCCTGGTTCTTGCAGGATGTGCAGGCGCCGTGAGCATGAGCTGCAGGGGCCCTGGCACAGCTGACAGGGCAGGAGCTGGAATCTGAACACCTCTTAGGGCCCAGGTGCCATCCCCACACAGCATGGTCCAATCTGGCGCAGCTCTAGGTAGCCACACGCAAAGAGATTTGCCCGTGCACAAATGGGGGTCTGGGAAAGGTCACTCTTGGCAGGGTGCTCAGCAGATGAACCCTTGAGCTGCTCAGAAGACCCTTGGGCGCTGGAGATCAAAACCGGGGCTCATTCATGCAGAGTATGTGCCCACATCCAGCTGTGCTCAGGGCTCACTCCTGGCAGTGCTCGGGGCAGCACACGGGGTGCCAGGGACAGAGTCCGGGTCAGCTGCTTCCACAGCCCTCACCTTACCTGCTGTAATATCTTTCCTTAAGATATTACTGAGTTTTTACTGAGGGACGATACCAAATTGAAGGAGAACGTGTGGAGAGAGAGCCCCATGGAAGAAGGAAATGATGCTCTGGAGGAGTGAAAGGGAGATGCAGGATGGAGCTCTGCCTTGTCTGCGGCTACAGGGCTAGGGTCCAGGAGACAAAGGAAACAGCTCGTGTGTTTATTCTGACACCTGCAGCGGTGAGGACACAGCCTTGCCTGGCTGCCTTTGCGTTCAGGGCCCAGGAAGGCCCTGCCCAGTGGAATGCTTGGAATGTGCAAGGCCTGGCCTGGACACAACCACAGTGCCTGGCTCCAGCTCTGCCCAGACCCCTGTGTCCGTTCAGCAGAGCCCCCACTCGCCTTTCCGTGCCCAGGACTCAGCCGGGTCGTCACAGGCTGTTCAGGGACTGACTGAGGTGGGCAGCTGGGCCAAGGGCTGGAGTTGAGGCCGCGTATTCCACGCCAGGCAGCGCCCCTGACCCGCCCATGGTCTAACCTACCATGGGAGCTTGTGCAGAGATGCGGGAGGCCTGTCCCCAGCCGCACAGGGCCTGTCCTTTGGCTCAGAGACCTTCATCCACCTTGCCAGGGCCAGAAGTTTATTGCACAACTTAACCACTGAGGAATGCACGCTAATTTCTGTGACTAAAGTATGCCCTACCCTTTTAAAATTTCCTTCCTTTCCCTGCCTCTTTCTCTGGAGGCACTGCTACTCCCAACAAGATCAGGGTTCAAGCCCAGACCTTCTGAGCCAAGCCTTCACTCTGGCGCTTAGAGCTATCCTACAGCCCCTGAGGGTTTGTTTGTTTCCCACATCCGGAAGTGCTGGGAGCTCATTTCCTGCGGTGACCACCAGGATGGATCCCAGGACTGCCACGTGCAAACACTGGGCTCCAACCCTATGAGCCATCTCCCTGGCCCTCCTGTCTTTTGTTCTTCTGATTGGGAGGGGAGGGAGGTGGGTTACAGCCAGAAGTACTCGGGACCATTTCTGGTTGTGCTCAAGAGTATCGCCTGGGGCTGGAGTGATAGCACAGTGGGTAGGGCATTTGCCTTGCACCTGCTGACCCGGGTTCAATCCCCAGCATCCCATATGGTCCCCTGAGTACTGCCAGGAGTAATTCCTGAGTGCAAAGCCAGGAGTAACCCCTGAGCATTGCTGGGTGTAACCCAAAAAGGAAAAAAAAAAAAAAAGAGTATCCCCTGGCCCAGTTCTGGAATTCCAGTTATGGGTGGCAGGATGCAACACCTATCTCTCCAGCTCCCACTACTGTCTTCTAAAGAGAGGTGGGTTTTTTTTCCTTTCTTTTTTGGGTTACACCCAGCAATACACAGGGGTTACTCCTGACTTTGCACTCAGGAATTACCCCTGGCAGTGCGCAGGGGACCATACGGGATGCTGGGAATCAAAGGATGCTGGGAATAGAACCTGGGTCAGTCAAGTGCAAGGCAAACGCCCTACCTGCTGTGCTATCGCTCCAGCCCCTAAAGAGAGTTTTATAGAGTTATACTACCATTATTTGTTTTGTTTTTGTTTTAGGGCCACAAGCAGTGGTGCTTAGGGCTTACTCCTAGCTCTGAGCTCAGGGATCAGCCCTGGTTCTGTGTTCTCCAGGAGGGCTCTGGGGACCATATGGGGTCTAGGAGATCAAACTCAGTTCAGCCATGTACAGGGCAAGCACCTGCCCGCAAGACTATTACTCAGGCCCCACTACACTGTGGGGTGTGTATCATGGATATATTTACTCTTTTGTTGCGGGCCACATAGTTTCAGGGATGAAGCCCAGGATCTCACACGCCAGACCCTGAACATGCTCACTGCTGGTCTCGGCTAGAGCAGCTGAGTTTCTGTCTGAGTCTTATTCTGGTGTCTTTAAGTGCATTTGGGTCCATAACTATATAGCACAGAAAGTGAGGCCCTTGCTTTGAGTGGGGCTGGCTGCTTCTGCGGCAGCCCCAATTTGAACCCTAGCACAGATAGAGCCAGAAATGGCCCCAGAGCACTGCAGGGTGTGGCCCAACACCCGCCTGAATAAATGAAGTAATAAAGTGCCTATTAAAATTAAGAAAAGGGGCTGGAGCAGTAGCACAGCGGGTAGGGGGTTTGCCTTGCACGCAGCCAACATGGCCGACACAGGTTCGATTCCCAGCATCCCATATGGTCCCCCGAGCACCGCCAGGAGTGATTCCTGAGTGCATGAGCCAGGAGTAACCCCTGAGCATCGCCGGGTGTAACCCAAAAAGCAAAAAAAAAAAAAAGAAAAAAATTAAGAAAAAGTGCAGAGCCTGGGAGGTAGCCGAAGCCATGCCTTGCATTCGCTGGACTACAAGTTCAATCCCCAGCACAACATGGTCCCCCCCAGCCACATGGTACCACTCAGTGCCTCAGTAGACCCCGAACATCCCCAGAGTGGCCCTGCAGGCCCCCAGCCTGAGAAGCACCCCATCCCAGGGCGGGAGCACTGAACTAGCAGCCTTCTGCCAGGCTGGTATCCCTGGGCCTAGCCTCGGTACCTCAAGTGCTGTCTGGATTTTTTTATGTTTTTTTCTGGGCTGAGGATCAAACCCAAATCTCCTGCACATAGAGCAGGTACTCCTTCACTGCGCTGTATTTCTGAGCCCCCAGAGCATCTGCTGGGGAGCCCACTCCCCAACCCTCCCACAACAAAAACGAAAAACATGTGATCACCTAAAATCATCTCCTCTGTTATGAGTGCTGCCTTGCCAAGTACAGAGAGCTCTTTGGGGAGTGAGGGTCCTTACCTGCCCATCCCCAGGGAAACAGCAGAGGGGAGGGGTGCAGAGATCCTCGGCTTAGCTTCTGAGGCTGAAGACCCTCTAGTAGAGTTATTTTGCGACGCTGGCATGTTGTCAGATTTTTGTTGCTTTCAGGCCACACCCAGTTGTGCTCAAAGGTTCCTCTTGATTCTGTCCTCAGAGGGATCATTCCTGACAAGCTCAGGAGACCAAATGGGGTGCAGGGCAAGGCAAGAGCCCTGCCCTCTTTTTTTCAGTCACAGCAGTGCTCAGGGCGTACTCTTGGCTCTGCACTCAAGGATAACTCCTGGCGTATGGGATGCCGGGGATCAAACCCAAGTGGGCCAACATGAAAGACAAGCTTCCTACCCACTGTACTATCTCTGTGGTTCCACCCTGTCTATTGTAGGATCACTGTGATTCCAAGATTGTCATATTGTTTTCAAGTCCAAAAATTTTAATACATTGCCAGTATATGGATAAATGAAATGTTAGTATTTTTTGGGGGGGTGTACACTAGCTCTGGGAAGCGAGGCTGAGTCTCTAGGATGACTAAAACGAACCTGTGTGGACTTTGTGTAAGACGGGTGCTCCACCCTCTGTACTGTTACTCCACCCCTATACTATCGCTGTGGTCCCTACTTTGTTTTGTTTTTGGGTGACCCTTAGCAGCACTCAGGGGTTACTCCTGGTTCTTCACAGGGATTTCTCCCGGCAGTTCCTTGGGGACCATATTGGATGCCAGGAATTGAACATGAGTTGGCTGCATGCACGGCAAGCGCCATACCTGCTGTGCTATCACCCAGGTCCCTATTTTTTTTATTTAAAAAAAGAAGCTAATTTAGAAAGTCTATTCAGGGCTGGAGATTTAATAGTGCAAATGTCAAGGCACTTTCTGACAAATGGCTGGCTCCTGTTCCATCCCTGGTACAGCATATGGTCCCCTAAGACTATCAGGAATGATCT